AAGTATTCTTTAGTTTAAGTCTTAGAAGTCTGGGGGATAAGTTTTAGTTATTATCACTGGGGCATTTTTAATGAAATGTTAAAAACTCTAATGAATTTCATTTAAAATAAATTCTTTAATATTTATATTAGATTAAACGTAATCAGACTCTGTTTTTATTTATTTTTACTGAGAAGGCAAATACGTAGGATAATATTTGAGGGAGGGGAGGGGTGTGGTTTATTTTTAAGCTCTCGCTATTTGTATAACATTTGTATGAAGTAATCTTAATGAGAGAAAAACGTTTTGGAAGTCTTGTATCGTTGTTTCTGTGATGGGTTTACTGAAAGTTTGGCTAGGTTTAGTTAATTCTCAGAAATGCTCCTCAATTTTCGATAAATAACGTCCCCTTCGAAATTGTTCCTCCTTTAACAACTGCTTCGGTTCATACCTATTAAAAATAATGAAAAATGTTTAAATAAAATATTATAGATAGGTACTCCCCTCTCGGAATTTATGTTTATTAAATTTATTTATGCTTTATTGTTATTACTTTGATATCGATGTTTTAAGAATTCGTGTTTACATTTTGGCATACAAAATGATTGAGATTGTTAAATTGTAGATAAAAAAAACTTTTGATTTTTTTATAATAATATGTGCTTTTAGATTCTGAGCGTAGTGAGGGAGCTATTAGTTTTACAATGCTATTTATTTTTTATTCTTCTTTATTCTTTTTTCTAGTCGGTGGACAACTTTTACTTACAACTTACCAGCAATTTTGTTCCGATTTACAATGATAGCACTTTTTTGAAAAGGAATTTGACTGTATAGGTACTTTAGGGAGGTCATTATATAATATTTATACATATAAGTAAAACGAAAAATATTTATTACGTGCCACGACGTTACTGATTTCATAGCTTTTAATTTTTGCAAATTTTTCCTACCAGAAATATTGCTCCAATAGAAAAACGATAAAAACCTTTTTTGTTGCAATTTAAATTTAGTTACTCGCGAATAAAGTTGTTTTTTGGTTTTCCAATAGTTTTTATAATAATTGGAGAAACCCGGAAAAAGACGAAAAATTAAAAGAACAAATTTACGACGTTACGATTTCTTTATTACAGATGTCCCGCGCCCACCGTTGCCCGTACCAATTTTGTATTTTTTTAACCTTAATACTCGTTTTACTTTGCTCATATCAACTATCAGAATATACAATGAAAAAAAAACAAGTGGTTCTAATGTACCATACAATTTTTCATCCGTGTTACCATAGATATCTATTATCCGCACAACACAGGGATTAAACTATATATTATCTACTATAATACTAACATGATGACATATCAGTAGGTACTCTAATGTTGTTACTGCACCAAAACATACAAAGACTCAAAGATGACGATTTACGTGTTTTCATTTTTCACTTAATACACTTACCCACCCATAGTTTTTTGTTTTCTTTTCATCCATGTTATCAAGGTAACTCATTCTATTTCAAGGTAATAATCGACCGGCAGACAGTCAAATAGACTTTTTAAGTTGTTATTGTCGTTATGGTATTTTCATTATTTATTTTTTTGTTTTAAATTTTTCTTCATTTTATTCGTGTTGCTAAAGTAATCCAAATCAACAAAATAAATTTAATTTTCGTACCGAAAATACCTCAAATCTTTTCATCTCGTTCAAGATTTATTTTCATGACAAAAAGGAGCCTCTTTTTTTCTCCAAGGTCCCATCTATCTCTCTATCTATTGACCAAAATTTATCAAAATTGATTCAGTGGTTAAGTCGTGAAAACGTAACAGACAGACTTACTTTTACATTTATAATATTAATTATGATTTTTACGATGTTTCTACCAGAAATATTGTTCCAAAAGAGAAACGACACTCTATTTTCATTTTTAATCTAGTGAGTATGAGTCGTTTTTTTGTTTTCTTTAGTTTTTTAATAAATGAGCAAAACCGAAAATAGCGTAGAAAGAACGGGAAAATTTTCGAAAATAATGATTTTATTATTTTCAAAATTGTTTTTTGTTAGTGATTCGTTAGTTGTAAATATTCGTAGACTTGAAATTTTGATAGAAACGCTTATTTTGCTTTTTCTAGACCAGGTAAAACAAGCAATACCTACTTATTGGTAAAAAAAAAAATTTTGAGTACAATGTAGCTACCTACTTAATATTTTTTTTTGAAGAAGAAAAATTTTAATATCAAATTTTGACGAAATCCTAAATATAATGGTCTTTCAAAACACATGTTTATAACCTAACTCTGCTCAGTATCTTTTTTCGTTAACAAAGATTAATCCTACCTTCCCCACTTCTCACCTACAGCAGTGGCTCACCCATCGTGCATAGTGTGTCAGGATCTTTTTTTTTCCTACTGCTCTTCAAGGGTAGTTTCTTTAATTGTATAGACTTCTTTCAAATACTCAAAAATTTGACACAGGTTTATCAAAAGATAAACTTAAATGTTATAATTAGTGGTAAAAAATTGAATCTCTTATATTGTTCAAATTTCAATGTCAACTGTGAAAATCATAGAAGTTCCCGAAATTTTTTTTAGATACAAATTAAATACAATTTTAAATTTAAATTTATTAAAAAAATGTAAACCTAACCGAACTATGTTCTGAATCATTGTTTGCAATAATTTATTACTGCCTAAAGATAAATTAAATTACCTAATATTTAATACGTGGTACTAAGCATGTCAATAAAGATTGACCACCAGCAGAGTTCTCTTACTTAATTTTCAAATATTGTTTGATCATTGGGCCGCAATTAATTTTTGGTGGACAACCCAGTCCACCACTGCTATTTAAAATAAATTGCAATACCTAATTTAAATTAGTTGGCAGACCAAAAATTGTAGTAAAGTCGAAGAGTAGAAGAGTAAGAAGAATTAATTTAATATTGTCGTTAGAGGCGTTAAAGTCAATTTTAAAGCATATTACAGACATAGACACATCGACTAAGACACCTACCATATTTCCCGGTGAAATCCAGCATCCCAGCAACCCATATTTCACATAATGATACACCAATATAATATACCCTGTGTCCATGGAAACAGTGTACACTTTACCACTGATTACCCTGTAAACATTTTTCAATTCTGTTTACAGGACATTAAACTAGATAATGGATCTTAAATTCCTACGACTTGCAGTTTTTTAACGCTTGTATTTTGCGCATGCACAACACAACTTCACTTTTTTATAAATGGCAACCCCTATTTTGAATATTATTTTCGGATTTATCGATTTTCTTCAACCAATTTTCATGTATCAATTTGTATTCTAAACCCAAAATTGACTAAACAAGAGCTAAGTGTAGTTTTATAAAAAAAATGCATTAAATTTGTTTTTTGTGTTTTTAACTGAACATATTTTTTTCTTCTAAACACTCCAATACAATAAAAATTATAACTAAAATACTTTGAAAAGTATTACTTTCAAAATATTAAATAGTTTAGTACTTTAGTAATAATTTTGACTGTATCATAGTGTTAAGAATCAAAAATTACATTGTTAAAAAAAAAAATCAAATTTACTACCCACGTTCTTTTTTTTTGTAAAACTACATTTAGCTCTAGTTTAGCCAATTTTGGATTTAGAATACAAGTTGATATATGAAAATTGCTTGAAAAAAATGTATAAATCCGAAAATATTTAAAATAGGGGTTGCCATTTAAATAAGTGAAGTTGTGTTGCTCATGCGCAAAATATAAGAGTTATAAAAATTGTAAGTCTTAGGAATTAAGAATCCTTTAGTCTAGTTTAATGTCCTGAAAACAGAATTGAAAAGTATCTACAGGGTAATGAGTGGTAAAATGTACCCTGTTTCCACGGACACACAGTATACATACAGTGTTTGACAGATTTTTCTTGTACTGCTAGTAAACTATTTTCGGTTTTTTTTTTTCAATCAGTTTATTTTTGAAGGGGACATCGATTTGGAGAAAAATTAAATTTATATTTCCATCTCCTAAAGTGAAAAAAAAATAACATTATTTATTCACTTCAAGAAATTTTCAAAATAGCTATTTTGTAAAAATTATTCAAACAATTTTACGTATTACACAATTTATATTTGATGAATAATTTCTTAGTTACAGCAGTTTTAATTGGACGTGAAAACAATTAATATTCAATAAACTAACACGTTATGCAATAAGGAATTACAACCAGCCCAGTAATTCTTTACATTCTATTGAATACTAAATTGTTTTCATGCCTATTTTCTAGAAATTAAAATGGCTATAATTAAGAAACTATTAATCGGATATGAATATATGATACATTAAAATGTTTAGAATAATATTTTTTTACGAAATGGCTATTTTGAAAATTGTCTAAAGTGAAGATATTATTTATTTTTTTTTTTTGTGGTTAGGGGATGAAAATAAAAATTTAATTTTTCTCCAAATCAATCTCCTACTTAAAGACAAACCAATTGAAAAAATGTAATATTAATAATGCAAGAAAAATCTATCAAACACATTCTATGTATGCAATGGTGTTTCGAATAGGATATATTATATGCCTTATACTCTCAAATAGTAAAACAAACAAAAATGAAAATCCGTTATGTTATCATGATCTGCATATACCACTTATGCTACTTAAACCAAAATAGTAATACAAATTGTATTTATTTCAGTAATTATTATAACTGAAAATTTTTAATAATACATAGTACTTTATTTTTAAAAATGTCGAGTGTTTTTTTTTTTGTAGTTTTAATTTATTTTTCGTATAATCATTTGCCTATAAAAAAATATAATCCAGCAGAAAAATATATAATTGAGTGTTACAGTATATTCGCAAAAAAATTAATGGGAACAACACTTATATGACCACATTTTACGAAAAATATAAATATCATACATAAAAAATAAACAACATATTTGGAAAAAAAGGGAAACCTATAAAACAAAGTTAGACAAATTAAATCATGTAAAAGTGGAATAGTCCAATCATTTTAGTTTAATTACTGGTTACTGCACAAATATTTAGTATAAAATAATTATAGTAATATGATGTATATTGAATAAATTATATTAAACTGAATTAGTTAGGAAAACAATACATTTAAAAATATGTAATTGCTTTATACAAATATAATAATATCACACATAGGATTACACATAATGCATGAAACATCACTGACTACATTATTGATACAACAAAAAAATTGAGTCATGTTATAAAGAAAATTAGTTTTAATTAAAACTAAACTTAAATATTTGCCAACCAAAAAAAAATTGTTAATATTTAATGCTCTATGGTAATCATTAGTTATAAGATACAATTCAATTTTTCAAGAGAAAAATCTGTACCATAAAACTAAATATTTGAGTACTGATTCAACTAAACCAATGGCTGCCCATGCACTCTCTTGTCCATTCTGTTTGACATAACCAACACCATGGAAATGAACATCGTGTACAAACCATATGCATACAACCTCCTTAAAATATTATACAATATAAAAATCAACAATCAATAATTTAAAATTAAGCATTTAAGTAATATAACTGATTATTTAATTGAAATAATTACCATCCCGTTCTGTAGCTGTACGACATTTTGGACAAGGTTTTGTAGTAACTTTGATTTTTATTTTGCTCGCATCATCCCATTTAGCCTACAATTTATTTTTAATAGAAATTTTATACTAATGTTTTTTAAAGTACATAAATCTTATGTTAATGTTTTATAAAAGTATTTAAAATGAAATAAGTACCTGTGAAACTAGTTTAGGGTCAACTGAATAACCAGTTATATCAATAATTAATTGTTCTTCTTTTGGTAGGCATTCACCAATATGATATCCTTGAAGGCATTTTTTACAAAACACATACTAGAAATTAAAAATAATTCACTTAATATTATCCAAATGCAGATTTTGTACGTATAATATTACCCCACAACCATTAATGCAAGTCACTTTATCACATTCTTCGTCAACAAGTATGCCAGCACCACAATCAGGTTGAGGACATAGTACACCACCATGCCTAAGCACATATTCTTCAGTAGCAAATCGTTCATACATATTAAACTAATAAATACATAAACAAGAAAACATTAAAACAAGATACTTATAAATTTCCATGTCATTATATCAATTGAAAAACCAAGACATTTAAAAAGTCATAAACATAAAATTATTAATTTCTAATTTTGAATTTATTAAATTGTACAAGCATTAAAAAATATAATACATGTTTTAATGTTTAATCATAATCAAAATGCTTATAATAAATAGAAAGTAAAAAGATGTAAATATATAATATGTTTCTGGAGTTAAATGTCAAGGAGCTGCAACACGCCTACATAATTTCCAATATTGAATGTAAAGAGTTGTTAATATTTATACCTAGTCTTATTCACTTAACCAGAGCAGTAATTTAACAATGATAAAATTTATTCAAAGTACAATTAATAAATATTAAAATAATATACATGTACACTTAATACGAGTAATCCTGATTTCCTAGGATGGTTATGGCAATATTAAGGAAAGAGAGTACAAGTGGTATGTGGTTGAGGTGATTGTTAATTAAAAAAACAGTATAAGAATTATACACTTAAAAATATTATTAAGACCAACCAAAGTTTAGACTTGAATATATAACCCAATTGTCGGGATTCAACTAAGATTCCAACTTTACTTATTTATTATCAGGGCTCAAAACTTTATGCATTTACATATTTCTTAGGAAGCTACATATTAAAAATCTGATTCAACACAAATTTGTTTCATAGTACATACAATCTAAATACAAAAGTTTATGTTGCATATTTGACTACGTTTATATGATGTTGGATATTTAAAGACTTTAAGCATATTAATGTATATTATGTTAGTATATCATTGATTTAAAAATAAAGAGCCTCCACACATTTTCAATATTTTGAATTATACTATTCTGAAAATTGATTGTAATTTAATGTTCAGGTAAAAACAATTTATTTTTAATTAGAACTGTGTATACGACATATGGTTGTTATTGTTATTGTAATCAAACATCACGATTCTATTAGTTATGATCGGCCAAGTTATACCTTGTATTAATATTGGAGTACTTAGCTCTTTTGATAAATTTTATGTGTGTGTGCGCGTGTACTTTTGTTTGTGTTCACGACCGTGATCATGATCATTTACTGCATAATATTTATTGTAATTTAAATTTTTATCAATGTTTGAAAAATAAGTTACTCACAGGGAAGAGAACTATAAATATTTATATTTAAATTAATTTTTTTTTTATTTTATTATTTTTGTATAAGATTAAAATAGCTATTCTGTAAAAATTATTTTTCAGAAAATTATAATTTACCACACATTTATATCCGATGAATAGTTTCTAAGTAACAGCCATTTTAAATTCTACTAATTTGTGTGAAAACCAGTGTTATCTAAGGAATAAACTAACTGGTGATAACATTGGTTTTCACACGGATTAAAAGAATTTAAAATGGCTGTTACTTAGAAACCATTCATCGGATATAAATGTGTGATAAATTAAAACTTTCAGAAAAATAATCTTTACATAATGGCTATCTTAAAATTTTCTAAAAGTAATCAAATAGTTATTTTTTTAATAAAAAAAAAAAATTAATTCAAATATAAATATGTGTAGTCCTCTTCCCTGTGAGTAATATAAAAACCAGAATTTGATTATCTTTATTATCTCCGAAGATATTCAAGGGGTATATCTTTGTGGGACAGCCTGTATCTTAATAAAAATAGACTTAAATATGTATAAATAAAAAAAAAATTATTTACAATAAAACTATTAATAATTAACAATAATAAATTAACTTAAAATCATTTATATTTAAATCTTTAGTGCTTATTATTAATGGAACAAACTATACAATATTGAATTACATTTAAAAGATTTCTAATGTTTCTTACTTAGCTTTTCAGTTGATATGTCAACATAAAATGAACAACTCATACCATAATACTTACATGGTCTTTGGTTAATGCTTTAAAATGATATGGTTGGTTTATTAAACTATTTGGACAACCAGCTGGACATGATATAGTGTAGCCAAGATTTTCATCTAATACAAATTGTCTTTCTCTGAGTCTGACAATAGCATAATTACAAAAACATTCTAGACAGGTAACGTGGTAGTCTTCGCATGGATATACAAACACTTTTGGTCTAAAAAAACATAATAAATAAGACTATTTATATCATAAAAACATTAAATAATATTACCTAACATCTGTACAAGCTAAACATGGGATATCGTGTAAGTTATTTCTAATCAAATGTAGTGCTACAGCTTCATCAGTTTCACCTTTGGTTACGTGTTCAGAACATTTGAAATAAAACTCTGACCACCCAACTTGTCCATCCTTAAAAAAAAATTAACAGTTTATATATATTTATTACTAGGCTTAAAAAATGCTAACATGTACATATTATTTTTTGAATTATGTAAAAAGTAACAGTCAAATAGAAATATCTTCATGGAACAGCATGTATATCAATTTGTCAGTTAGATAAAAAATGTTTAAAGCATGTTTGTATTATTTTTAGAGCTAAAAGTCCTTAAGCCTATTTATTACATACATTAACTTGGTATTCATATACAAAATTGTACAAATTGTAAACAAATACGTACTGTACACTGAGAGATCTCACAATGTCCAGTTATTCTATTTGGTTTAAGCACATCATTCCAATTTTTTGGATCACCGTCTACAGTAAAAGCACCACTTTTACATTTGAAACACCTTACACGGATTTTACCAACAGTGATATTATCACAAGGTAAAGAACAGTATACATAAAAGTTTACTTCTGCTCGTTTTTTGTCATCAAATTCATCATCTTCTTCAACACAAACAGATATATGATGTTCATGTTTTAATGAATTCCTATGTCTTGACTTAACAACGTGGAGCACAGTTTGCTCAGCTAAATTGTATTCTTCTAATAATTCTGAATCGTGTAATTCTTTACCAGCAAATATGATTGTTAACTACCGGAACAATAACAAAAGTACAAAACACATTAGTATAACTTAAAAATATAATGTACAATAAATATGTAAACCAACCTCTTCAGGGATCATACCCAACTTTGGTGCAACAAACTCTTTGACGTCTCTCACTTCCCATTTTGGATCCAATCCCACAGGTACTACAGTACCAGTGTTAGACTTTACAAATATTAATAACGAATTAGTAATGCGTCGAGTGAATATAGTGTCAAAAATACGACGGATATAATTCAATAAACTACTAAACAAATTACTTAAAATAGACATTATTCAAACGAATAATTAAATATAAACATTATTAAATTAAAATATAGGACTCCATTCAATTTTTCAAACGGTTTTCAGTCAAATCACGGTACTTATCATACCAATTTATTATCACAGGGTCAAGTGATAATAAACAGGTTCAACAACATTATCTGAATTAAGTTGTATTTAATATTTTAATTTTTTTGTTAAGTCGACATCAATAAACCTATATCATATTACCATTTGTTCCACGTTTTATCTTTTTTTCTATAAACATTTGTTCGATTATTATTCCTTTTTTAAATAACTGTAACTCTTTTAATAGTTATAAGTCGAAAAATACCGACGACATTGTTCGATAATATTTTTTGTTCCGATTGCAATAACATTTTTGTGTTCACTAGCAGTGTTGCTCTTATCAAGTTAGTCCTTAAAATATACCATTTTTGAGCGAACACGAAAACACAGAAGAAACAGAAACTTTCCTTATCAAACAAAAGAAACATAAAGACAATACAAAAACACTTATTAATCGGAGGCTGAATTCCAAGTCTAATAAGAAGGTTAATTATTTTAGATTCTGAATGGAGCAAAGAAACTTATGGTTTTACAAAGATGTTTATTATTTTTTTCCTTTGGACAAATTTTCTACCAGAGATCTTGCTCCGATTTTTAAATGAAGTATATTTTCTGAAAGGAAATCTGTATAGGGTGTGTGGTATTTTAAAGAGGTAATTTTTTGATTTTCCCAAGAATTTACTCAACAAATGTGAAAAAACGGGAAAATATAAAAAAAGTAAGTATTAGTTAATATATATTACGGCTCTTTTGCCTGTGAACAACTTTTTTACGAGAAATTTGACTTCGATTTATAATGATAGCAATTTTTCTGAAGGGAAATTTGACTGGACAAGTGCTTTAGGGAAGTCATTTTTCGATTTTTCCAAGATTTTTTCGGGAAAATGGGTACAATATTAAACAAATATTATTAAAGAAAATATAAAACTTATTTAATTATTGTACTATAATATGTCATATATATATATTGTCGACAAAGCATCACTATCACCTGAACTTCGTTCAGAATCGTTTTTTCGTAAGCATTGGTTTATCGTTGCTTATGGGTATACATTAAATTACCTATAACAATGGCTGCACCCGTTCCCATTATCCTAAGACGTCTTTTTATATTTGTAATTATAACATTGAAAAAATAAAGCTTCAGAGCAATTTTATATGGAGTGCTTACTTCTCGAATTAATCTACTGTCGGTTTGACCGAGGACAAGGGTGTGCTTAGAAATTGTTTTCGGGTGAGAGGGATTCAATATTTTCACTAACACATATTTCAAGTGTATATTTTACTAGATATTAATTTGACATGTATATAATATTCACACAATATACTCAGACCAGATCGTGTCATATTATTCAATACTAATATTAAAAAAAAAAAATAATAATAATAATCCATGATACATTTTGAATAATTTATCGTCATATTATTAGATATATTTAAATATATATTAGATAATATGAAAAAAAAAACGTATAGAATGAATCCTTGTCTTCGAGGTGTTAAAGCAAACCTTCTCACCACTTCATTATGATTAACGTTAATTTCTATTTTGAATTCATAGAAGAGCTAACCCAATTAACCGATCTTCGTCAGATGTGTTGCGTAAATATGTTATGAGACGCCGTAAAATAGAAAATGTCCTTTCTGCAGTTGCGCAGACACGGGTAAAGTTGCTAATATTTCCAATAGTTTTCTTGTATTTGGGAACAATTTTTTATCACGTTTTAATAAAGACTCTACTGCAATCGAAGGTTTTTTTTCAATGTCATCTTTTAAACATTTTAATTTCCATGTGGGGAATTCTTCATTAAATACTGTAGAATCTGGCAATAAATTATAATGGAATTTGTATTCATAATCCTAATAAATGAAAAAAAATATATATATATTAATTTACTAGGCAAAAATTAGTAAAAAATATTAAACTTACATTGCAATATTGTATTATAAATGTTTTGATGTACATTGTATAACTAAGTTAACTTGGTCGAAATAAACTGTGTACAATTATCGTAATTAATAATTTTTATCGATTAAATAATGTAATACAATAAGTACTAAAAGATAAATATTTTCGATTTCACGGACCACGGTCAAGGTCAATCTTATCTATTCTATAATACTAGATAGATCGATAATGGATTATATAAATAACTCTGGTCTTTAGCAAATGTATGTAATACAAAACTTAAATTGAATACAAATATCAAGCGATTCGTTAAAATTTCACTAAACACACCTCTGACCGAAGGTTTCCCCTAAGAACTGGACTTGATTTATAAAAAATTGTTTTAAATTTATTATTTAACATTTATATAACAATTTGAATTTGAATTTTTTTAAATTTAACCAATTGTTTGTATGTTACTACAAGATCGTTATTTTTTTATGTACGTTGAAATGTGGAAAAAAATGTATGATTAAGTATTACCGAACTGCGGTTCAGAATTGTTTTTCATCAGTAGTTCATCATTGCTTACAGATATAAATGAAATCACCTTATGTATCCTACCTTCCCAACTTTTAACCTACAACAATGACTGCACCCGTTCCTAGCATCCTAGGACAATTTTTTAAAAATATATGTAGTGTGTACACATCTACTACACGGATGAAATATAATACGAAATTAAAACATCTATATATTTTCCAATAATAAAAGCTAAACTTGAGACTCTAGACTAGAGGAAAAATGATGCATATTTTTATTTTTGCATAAAAATATAATTATAGTTATTTTCTCTGCGGTCTGTTTATTATTTCGATAGTTTTATTGTTTGTGTTACCGGTTCCTTATTGACTCATTGTTGACAGTATACGTGTCGTATTGCGCAGGGCAACCCATGCCGCTGTTGACGACACGCGACCACTCGTATCTACTCGCATGCAATATAATATGCAATTTAGGTACAAATGAGGTGAGTGGTGGTGCGGGAGTCACTCACACTAATAATCAGTTACAACACACACAAAAACATGATTTGCACGCAAGTACTATTGAAATTGCCTATACGTAACTCCTTAAAACAGGTCGGTATCGAATCTCCTTAATTTGATAATTAGGTATACCGGCTAAAAAATAGTGTAATTAAAACTATGTTTTCTTTAAACAAGTTTTTATAATATAATTAAAACTTTCTATTAAAATCTAAACTATATAGTTTAGATTTTAATATTATTGTTTATTGTTATATTGATGAAAACAATTTAACGTAACTGTACTGAGCGTTAGACCAGAATTTGGAGTTATAGGGGGTAAGTTTCTATCAAATTGTAGATATTATGTTTCAGAGATGTCATTTTTCGATTTCCTAAGAAGTTTTCTCATCAAATTTGAAAAACTGAAAAAAAAAACGGGAAAAGCTAAGAAATATAGGTATTAGTTAAAATATATTACACCTTTTTTTTGGTCTATGAACAACTTTTCTATTAGCAATTTTTCTCCAACTTTTAATAATAGCAATGTTTCTAAAAGGAAAATTTACTTGAGAGGTACTTTAGACAGGTCAATTTTTGAAATTATCATTAATATTCAAGATAGTGAGAAAACTGCGGTCTTTATAGGTTAAAAAAGATTGAAAAATTAGTAAGGTTGCCAATAACAATTGGCAACCTTACTAATTTTTAATTGCCAATAACAATTGGCAACCGTTTTTAGTTATTTTTGTTATTAAGTTTTTATTATTTTAATCTTTTTTTAACAATTATTTTTGTCATGGAAACGCACATTTTTGTAATTATTTTACCATAATATGATATATAGTTTATATCATTTGGTATATAATAGTATATAATACAATATATGGTATATATTATATACCATATATTGTATTGTTGAAAAAGCATCATTATCAACTAAACTCCGCTCAGAATCATTTTTTCTTTAGAAATAGTTTATCGCTGCTTACAAATATGCATTAAATTCCCATCTGTATCCTATTTTTCGAACCTCCCACCTACAACAGTGACTACACCCATGTGCGTTTAAATATTTCGATAAAACATATTAATTTGTTTTTTGTTCTATAAACCTGGACCATTAGTTATTATATTACCCTCCATTATATTATTTTGAATAGATAAAATAAAACTAAAGATATTCTGATTATATGATGATTATTATTATTATTATAGTATTAATTTTTTTTTTATTTATTGAATGACATTTTAAAAGACTTAATCTCAATTATTTGTCTTTTAAATTTTAATACATATGTAAGTAGTATAAACAGTGTTCAACAAAGATTTACGAACTTATTGCTGTGAAGTTGTATAGGTACCATATTATTTTATATTAATTATATTTCTGTTAGAATGAACTCTGTACATATCCTGATATATTATACGATATGGCATACATTTAGAAATAAGTAAGTATACATATTATACTATACAAAATATCAAATTATAAATAGTATTACAAAAAGCATATAAAAATGGATACTTATTAATACATACATATAGAACCTATAATATATTATATATAAGTAAATAATGGTAATATTGATAATATATAATATAATATGTAGGCTGCGAGCTGATATGCTATTTATGTTAGAACATTGGTAGGTTTCAAATATTTAGTTGAAAATACAGAACATCCAGAACGAATTGATAACTAAAAAAAGCTGATACTGGAGACGGGTGCAACTATGTAGTCACTGTTGTAGATGGGAAGTTGGGAAGGTAGGATACATAAGGTTATTTCATTTATCTGTACCCAACGATAAACTATTGCTGACAAAAGACCATTACGAGCGCAGTTTGGTTTAAATCTGACTTCAAAACGCTTATTAAAAAAAAATATTCATAAATATAATGGTCTCTTGTTGTTTTTCGATTAGAGCCATATTTGTGCTAGAAAACATCGAAGCAAGTTTACTAGGAAAAAACGTGTCTACAGACTAGAACAAAGAAGAAAAAAATAAATAGCATTATAAAACCAATAGTTTCCTCGCTACGCTCGAAATCTAAAAAAAAATGAGTTTTAAGAATAATTTTATATGGTCTCGGGGAAGCGTTATAAATTTAATATTGTTAATATTTGAAACAAGCACAAGTTTTAAGTAAACAGCATATCATACCTCAAAACAATAAATTTCACAGCCAATGATTAATTTAAAAATACAGTTGGTACAATAAAAAATAAAAATAACTAATTATTAATTTTATTTGGTATAAGGCATAAACAATTATTAAAAAAAAAAAAACTATTTATAAAAATATTTAATAATAATAATATATCTGTAATCATGAGATACAAAAACAATAATGGTCAATAATCATTTATCATTTATCTAACAATTGGATCGAATTATTTTGTGCCTACATATTATATAATATGATTAACATGAGCATTGGGTGTAGCCGTATAGGTAATTTGTAATTTAAACTTTACATTTTAGTTATTAAGTTACTAAATTTTTGCCAAAACGATATTGAAATTTTAAGGGTGGATGGGAATAACGTTTTATTTAACAGTTTGTAAATATCAGTACAGTAACGAAAATATTCTCTTGAATAATATTATTTAGACTGCACATAGCACGTTATTCTTAACCTCCTGTTCGTTAACTCGTTAACTGTGAACGACGCACAAACCAAACGCTCGTACCTAGCACGTTTTAATTATCAATGATTCTTTACAATGAAAATAATATTCTGGGAATTTTCATATTCTAAAAAAAGATTGAAATTACTTTCAGCACCTTATTCCGCCAAAAAAAGAAAAATCCGAACAAAGTGTTACACGATATTCCCGGGCACCCTTCAATATTATTATATTGGTTATGAAATAATATATTATGTATTATGCATACAGCAATATATGTATATGAATACCTATATTAAAGCTTTTATGTTTTTAATGATTAAAGTATAGTGGGTAGATGATTGCATTATGGGATTTATTAAAAAAAATATCGATTTTGACACAACCACAAATTATTGTGTCCGTTAAAAAATGTAAACAATACAAAAATTTAAAAAAATATATTGGTAGCAAATGGAACTGCTTTAAAAGTTTGGAAATTTCACTTCTTTGGCAGATTTATTGTTTTCAGCGACCCAAACCGAACCACTTTGAGCTTTTTGTAATACGTGAATTAACGCACGTCCGACGCTTTGAGCTCTGAAACATAAAAATCATAAAATATTCTTCATATATTATAATATGTGTAATAATTTATTATAAAAATTTATCGTTTTAGATTCTATGTGTGTGTGTGTGTATAAAAAACTTTTTTATCAGAAATTTTGCTCAAATAAAAAAATAATAAGAGACTTTCTTTGTTGTATTTTGGATTTAATTGGTGCATTAAAGAGTTAATTTTTTGATTTCTAAGAGGTTTACATAATAATTTAAAAAACCGGAAACTAAATTATAAAAAAATCTTTAAGGGAGTGTTGTAGCACTACCGATTTCATTTTTTTAATATTTACGAATTATGTTATTTACCGGAAATCTTGCTTTTGTCAAAACAAACACAAAAAACTTTTTTGTTGCATTTTGGATTTTCTTAATGAGTAAGTCATTTCTGTTTTGATTTACCAACCAGTTTTCATAATAATTAGACAAAACCAGAAAAAAACGAGAAAGTTTATGGAAATAATGGTTTTATTATTTTCAGTATTAGATTCTGAGTGTAGCGAAGAATGTATTGGTTTTACTAAGATGTTTTTTTCTTTCTTTTTTATCTTGTGTACACAAATTCTACCATAAATCTTGCTCAGACATACGCGCGGCACTATTTTTGAAAGGGAATGTTGTTCAGATAGTACTTTTAGGAGGTCATTTTTTTTTTATTTTCAAAGCGGTTTTCATAATATCTGGAAAAAACCAGAATAAAATGTAAAAAAAACGAAAAATGTACGAAAATAATGCTTTTATTGTTTATTAATTTTGTTATTTTTTAACATACGTATATTGCCGATTTAAGGACGATAGTGAAGTCAGAATTGAGCTGATTGACTAGGTTTCGAAATATAGCTTTTTAAGTTCTGATATTATCCGGATATTATATTTTATCGACTATCGTTATGTAAAATAACTATATAGCCTCATTTAAAGAATATTTGTCGTGATCGGTTATACATAGCTATTATCATCCTAGGAGTCCCGAGTTTCCAACAAAATATTTTGTATTTTTTTACCACTTTTACCAAAACAGGGAAAAACAAATACATTATGGAGATTACCTGGAGACCCAAGCCATCACTCGCTCGGACTTTTTTAATAAAAAATTACTCCTCGATTTGTGGTGCAAACTTTTCTACCAGAAATCTTGCTCCTATGTATCTAGTGTAGCTTATTTTCTGAAAGGAAATTTATCTACATAGTACTTTAGGGAGGTCTTTTTTCGAATGGTTTTTATAATATCTGGGAAAACGGAAAATGTACGAAATGTAGGTATCAGTAAAAAAATATTATGGTCTTTTTTTTTCTGTGTACAACTTTTCTTCAAGTGATTTTGTTCCAATTTAAAATGATAACATTTTTTCCGAAAGGAAATTTCACTGGGAAGATACTTTAAGGAGATAATTTTTCGATTTTCCCGAGTTTTCTCAGCAAATGTGAAAAACCGGGAAAAAAACATGAGAACTTGGGAAAATCGGTACAATATTAAAAAAATATTATCGAAGAAAGTATATAATGCCTATTTAATTATTTTACCATAATGACATAATATATTGTTGACAAAGCATGACTATCAACTTCGCTTAGAAACCTTTTTTTGTTAGCAATGATTTATCGTTGCTTACAGATATAGGTACATTAAATTACCTATAACAGAGGCTGCACCTGTCTACATTATCCTAGGATGTCTTTTTAAGATCAAATTTTAACTTAAATCTTAACAATTATTATTACAAAATATGTATAACCGAATTTCGCTCATAATAGTTATTCATAAGTAATTATTTATCGTTGCCTACAGATATGAATTAAATAACTTTGTGTACTACCTTTCCACCTAGAACAATAGCACACCGGCACACTTGTCATCAGTATCTCAGTAGCTCTGTTAATTTCGGTTTAAATAAATAATCAACTAAACAACAATTGAGTAACTCACGCTTGAGGAGCTTGAGATGAAACGTCCCTGTCCCAAATGTGAATAAAATTGGGTGATAATAATGCCAATTTTACATCCTCAGGTATTGCATCAGTCAATGTCATTCCTGGACATAAAGCTATCACACGAATCCCCGTTAAATTTGTATGAAAAGGATCCTATAACAAATAAATTATGTATTTTAAAAATGTTAACATGCAATAGAAAAGGACAATATTTTATAACATAAAAGTACTAAATTTAACAATATCAAATATCAGTATATGATGTATTTACATGCATTTTTTTTTATTATTTTGTAATTCTTATAACTTACTCCAAATGACCTAATGAAACCAATAAGAGCGTGTTTTGTTGCTGTATAAATAGGCATACTTGGACATGGTTTATATCCCATCGTAGACGAAGTTACGACTATTGTACCACCACGACCTCCTTTATCTTTGCCCATCAGTTGCATAGCCAGTAATGTTCCTCTAATCACACCATTCTAAACATAGTAAATTGAAAAATTGAAAATATTACTAATATTTATTTTCCCCGAACAAAATTTCTTAAAAAATATTTCCTGAATATCAAAATGAATTTCAAATATCTGCGTATTTTTACAGAACATTTTTTATAAATTTTGAAGTAGGTATCCACTAAATAACAGGGAAAAAATTGTCTGAATTAAGACATAGAACATTGTACATTTAATGATTACGTTGTACAAATTGAATGTTTAACTATTCCTAGAGAATGATAAATAAATACCTATATCTACCCAGGTAATGTTGACATTTGTTATCGATGTGTTAACAAAAGAGAACATTATAATTATTTAATTATAGAATTAAAATATGAAATATGGTAATTATAGGTAGGTGGCTATTTAAAAAGACAATAATTTATTTTGGTTTATAAAAATGTTGAAAAATGTAAATCACCCACTACTATAGAAGAATATACCATAGTACTACATCCTACACTGTTATCGAATCCAAAAATGTATGTGACTAAAATATATAGCAATATTGCCTATAGGTGACTTACAAGTTAAAGTGCAAGTTGTCTAAGTAACTAATGGTGTTTCGATGAAGATAACTTAGAATGTTTACTATTATAATATTTTAATAAGATACCTAAGTACGTGGTGCCTATATTTTATAAATATAATATGGTGCAACACTATACAGTAAAAGGTAAATTTCTTACCAAGTTTACGTCGACTTCAAATTCCCAGAATCGGTCGTTAAAGACGCCTGCGTTGTTCACCACTATGTCAAGTCCACCGAAAGCCGCGATAGTCTTTCGAAAGGCATCTACAATCAAAAAATAAAAATTAGAACTCTGTTAAGTCCTCCTAGTATAAAACATTAAATGCTTAGAACAACAAACAGATAAACCCTAATTTTTTTCGAAATTCGCTTTTTTATGAATAATTGTGTAGGATAAAATTACTACATACATTTAGGTACGACAACCGATAAATCCGGATTTATCTGGTTATTGCTCCAATATGGTCAGTATTTGTCTAAAACTAAATAAAAGTTAACTAAATTTAAATTCCATAGTATTAAATAAACATCGTGTTGATAATACAAATATTAGTTGTAATATTTTTGGCATTGACTTATCATAAAAATAAAACGTGTTTTATCAGCCCTGAACAAATTTCAAAAAGTGAATTTATCTGGTTGTTGATCCAAACCAATTACAATTATTTTATATATTTTTTTGATTTTATCACATATTTAAGACTATGCACCCCTAAACTATGTTCAGTACCTATAGTACTTACTCTAGCACCCATAATATTTACCTTGAAACTGTGGATAATCAGTGACATCACACGGACAAAATATCACTTTGGCGTTTCCGAATTTGGCGCCCAACAGATCAGCCAACTTTACGCCGACGTCCTCATTGATATCGCAAATGGACACCTAAATACATACAATACGGTCATTACGTGACTACAAGTCTACAATAATAGAATCTACTTAACTATTATAATTAATAAGACTTACACGACACACATATCAAACGCGGGTATTTAGGTATTTAATTTTTCATATACCTAACAATATACTTTTTAGCTATACTAGATCTATATAAATAATATAATATTGAATTACACGTAGATAATTTGCGTAATTTACATTAATATTGTACATTTTACATTTCTATAGTTTACACCCTCTGGCCACTACGTGAAATATACGTTGAAGTCTGGTATTTTTATTGTTAAGTCTATTTTTCGTTAATTTCAATGACAATGTATACGTAGGGAATAGAGATTAAGTGTAAAGTGTGTCAATTTTTGTTAGTAAATGTTCCACAAATTCTCGACGTGAATTATACATTAAAGTCTGATAGGCAGTTCGTATGTACCTATAACCTATGTTTGGTATAACTTTCGCGTAAGGATAATGTAGAAAATTCGTTTATTTTACGTTTAATATGGATAAATTTGATTTAAAATAGGATAAATTTCTACGTCTGGGTCGTCGCCGACAAAATTTCATAAATTTTTTCAATAATTTTGTTACAAATATTATCGCAGACAAAATTTTGTTTCCCGACTAATGGCGGTAAATATCAAAATATGTATATCGATATGCACCTATTGTCATAAACAATGTATTTGACGTGCAGATGCCAAATGACTAGTGAAACTTGGTCGCTGATAAACCAGACATTATTAATATAGGTAATATAGGTATACATGTTGCATCAACATAGTGAAATCACTCAAATCATGAACTGGATATCCAGATGGTGAAATTCGTCTCGATCGTGAATTTTGAAGAAAATACATTATATGGACATCCATTTCATGAAATGGACAACTATATAAACCATACGCATATTGTATTTTATAAATGACAGTGTTACCTATGAAGTATTATGAAATAATCACGAAATTAACTATACTTATATGTCTTATTTTGTTTTATTTAAAAAAACAAACGAATTAATTGATTGATAATAATTAATAAATTAACCTATATATTTATTTTCCTTATTATTTATTTTTACTTGACGATTTATTATGATATCAATTGTTGCATAGCATATTATTTTTAAAACAAGCACACTTAACACAAACTATACTTTTCAATATCAATAAAGATAATAATGTTTAATCACGGACTAAGATATATATTAGTGTATCTTAATATTATATCTTAGTCCGTGGTTTCAATGGTCTATATTAAATGAGAGAGATACCAAATTTAATTTCGGCAATTCCACATCCGATTTCAAATGAATATTTCCTTATCGGATGACGGTTGACGGATACCTATATAACTCCTAAGTTGTTCAATAAATAACATATAGTGAGTGTTTGTGTTATGCATATAACGCAGGTACTATTTTGCTTATAATTTTCAATTTTAAATAAAAATGGAATAAACGAACGCATTTTCTGAAAAGCTGGATGAATATTATAAATTGAAATCTATAAAAAAACTGTTTATTAAATGCGCTCCATTACGGATGACATAGAAATGGTAAAAATTAAAACGAAAGTAATTTTGGACTTACATAAAAATCAATTTAATTAAATCAAATATACATTTTAACACGGTTAAATAACCATAAAAACTGCTAATAAAGCAGTATATAAGTATGAAGTAAGTTTATGAAAAATAAAATAAAAATATAATATCATTTATTGACTATAATTGTTATATTTTTGTTCATAAAACAATACAGAAAAGTATAGTTTACTATGATATAATATGATTATTTATCGCTAAAGAATATAAAACATTTTGTTTTATAATAGTTATACAAAGTACACAATAGGTCCATCTTATGAAATGTATTTTCGTCAAAATTCACGATCTGGACAAATTTCATTATCTAGATATCTAATTCGTGAAATGAGTGATTTCACTATATGTGGATGCGACATATATATTTCATTCGTCGCGCACCCTGCAGAGCCGTTTGAAATTGGTTTTCATTTGGAATACTTTGTGAACTTGTAAGAATATTATTTTATATTAATTATTAGATTCTTGAGAAAACTATTTATTTTTACGCAAATATTATTATGGGGTGGATAAAAGAAATCATGGTCTCTTAATTAGTTAATAGATTTACTATCACGAAAGACCGGTGATATGGGATAGAACACCGCGTCATTTTCGTCAGACATATTTACGTGGACAAAATTTATTTTATTGATATTTAGTGTGGACGTGCACGTTTTCCAACTTTGGCGCCGACATTGGTGTATACATTTTTAAAAACTGACGGACATACTTCGAAACGATAGGTAAGCCGCTGTAGTAAGTGAGAAGTTGGAAAGGTAGGATATAAAGAAGAATTAAATGTATATGAATGTGTTTTATGGATGTAGGTAAAGATTAATCTTTGCAAACGAAAAACGATTCTGAGAGGAGTTCGATTGTACGATTCGAAAGGCCGTAATATTTAAGATTTTTGTCAAAATTTGAAATTAAAATTCTTATAAAAAAAAAAAAAAATACTACTTCCAAATTTTTTTGGTTGACCATTAAGTACAACTTATAATGAACCTCCTGTTAAATTTTTAAGCATTTCTGTTTGGTCTAACAATTTTATCCACAGAGTAACTACCGAATTGTAAAAAAGCTCACAAAATTAAAATGGCATTAAATAGCTAAAAAATGACTCAAATTTTTTGCAAATTTTACCACATTTATAAAAGGCGAATCCTGTCTATAAAGTCCAAGTCTAAATTTTAAGTTTCTACGAACATTTTTATCCGAATTTCAACAAGAAAACAAAATTGAAAATAATACATCATTTTCGTAAAATTTATCGTTTTTTTTGTCAATTATTTTGAAAACTGCTTGGAAAATGAATAAATAACTTCCTTATTAGAGTACCACTACAGGAAAATTTAATTTCAGATAAAATGGTACACTTGAAAATCGGAGCAAAATTTCTAGTAGAATTTTTGAACACAGTATATTTATATATAAAAAGATACATAATAATAAAAAAAGACGTCCTAGGATAATGGGGGATGATGCAGCCACTGTTATAAGTATTTTAATGTATGCTTGTAAGCATCGATTGCTTACGAAAAAACAATTCTGAGCGGAATTCAGTTGATAGTGATGCTTTGTTAACAATATATAAATATAAACCATATTGCAGGTAAATAATTAAATATGCTTTATATATTTTCTTTAATAATATTTGTTAAATGTTGTATCGATTTTCCCGTTTTTCCTCAATTTTTTCTTAGTTTTTCGCATTTGATGAGAAAACTCTTAAGAAAATCGAAAATTAACCTTTCTAAAGTACATCCCTACCTCGAGTTTCTTTTAGAAAAAGGTGCTATACATAAAAATCGGAGCAAGATCTCTAATAGAAAAGTTACCCGCAAAACAGAAAAAAAAAAAACTTTTGTAAAACCATAAGCTTCTTCGCTCCACTCGGAATCTAAAAATTGCATTCAGACAGTTTAATATTATACCTATATATATATAATTTGTTTTTGTAGGGCATCAATATAAATTTACCGCCCCCTATTAATATAGACTAAATACAAATTGCCATTACGGTCAACAAGGCCCACCCAAATACGGGGCTGCTTCTTCGGTTTTTTCCATCCGGCCTCTGACACATCATCTCTTGACACTTCTCGAGAACTTCTATAACATAATAAATGCTATACACCTTACGAACTGATTCGTTACTCTATCCTCTCTGGTGGACTCCTGCACTCGTTCATCAAAGCGCTACACAAGCCATTCGAATTTCTGTTGCACTCTTCATTTTCAGCTCTTTAAAATCAGTGTTGAACCCAGAAAATTACTCTGGTGAGGGCTCACTTTTTTTTCATTGCTAATTCTATGTAAATTAAACGAGTACCTAACGGGTGCCTATTGTACATTTACCTAATTAATACATTTTGTCGACAGTTGTAATTATCGCGAGGGGCGAATGCAATTCCAAGGGGGGGGGGAAGGGCAACCGGAGTTTAATATCATTCCGTTTACTATCCGGCAAAAAGCGAATGTACCTACCATCGTGGGTATTATCAGTTTCACGGTAAACGTTTATCGATCGGCTTCGGGCATATTATTATAATTGTACTTGCTGCAGTATTCCTCCGCGCGCGAGTGAAATATATAATAACAGGTAAACTGTAATGTACAACAACTACGGAAAAAATTCGAATTCTTACTTTAGCTCCGTTTTTCAGCAAATCTTCGCAGTACGCGCGGCCGATGCCGGCCGCCCCGCCTGTAACCATGGCTACCTTACCCTTGATGTCCATTGATCGCGTGACTAATGTTGTCCGGCTGTGTACAGACGAACGTTTAATAATAGATCTATTATAATAGTGACAACGCGCGTATATCGGCTACTCTATCCCAACAATAATATACAATGCGTTTTGTACGGGCGCCTGTTTACTGCGATTATTATTGTTATTGGATCCGGTGTGTTACTGCGCGACTCCGCCGTGTCCGCGGTACATGGCCGGGCGCTCGGACAAGAGCACGCCCATGAGTTACACTGATAAAATTTCGAATCGACAAATGCGAAATGTGGAATACGCGGGTATACGCGTAAACGGCCACACGCGCGAGCGAATGCGTCACGGAAAAACAACGGAAACGGTTCCGACGAATGCAAAAGTGTGGGAAGATAGGGCGGGGTGGTTTTGGCGGTAGCGACGGTCGTGCGCGCGGCGCGTGCCTACTATTATTGTAGCGGGTGTCGGCCTCGCCCTTGGTAAAACGACACCGCCGCGGCCGACTCTACCGACTAGTCACGGGCGACGCGAAACGTGTAGTCCGCGACGCCGGCCGGCGGTGGAGCTGCGTTACGCGCCCTCGGCTGCCGCTAGGTACCGCGAGAAGCGGCCGCCCCCCCCCCGGTGCGAAAAACGCGTTTGAAAATAAACCGCTGAACGGACCCCCGTCCCCCGTGCCCAAAATATATTAGCCGCCGGGCCGGTCATTCTGCGCGACGCACGCAATTCATTCAGCCGGATTGAAGTTATTCGGATCGTCTGTGCCTGAAAATGCCGTATTAGATGGAACGTTGAGCCCATTGTTATTATAATATTATGAATACGTAGGCACGTAGTTTACGCGAATGAAAACGATTTCAAAGATGTACCTATTAGTTACTTACGGAAATATAGAGCCGCAAGCTGTAGGTGCACTCTAATAAACTTGTAACAGAGCGCTAAAAATTTAAACATATAAAATACCTAATGCATTCCTTGCTCTGTTTAGAATCTAAAATCACTGAAATTTAATGAATTATAAATTGCAATCATATTAAATTTACAAAAAAAAAAATATATACGATACCTACCAGTATAATTTTTTAAAATCCGGTATCAGTTTGCGGTTAGGGCAACTAAGAAGTTAGACAATAACTTTTCATTTCTTTATCGAAACGTATAGATTTTGACTCCGCGTTTATTATTCTATCATAGAAACGCATAATTTACATCCATGTGACTTTATATGACATGAATGAAAAAAGTACGCATTTTGAAAACAAAAGTGAAATCGTTTTCTAGAAAATGAAAAGTGCGTTTTCATCCAATATTATGACAGGTGAATTTCAATGGTTTTCTCGATTTCAAACATTGGATCGGATGTCGGTTTTACCTATATGGGTAGTTAGCAAATACCTGAAATCAGAAAAAATAACAGCTCACCAAAATAATGATCATCTTTATTATTCTCAAACGCAAATGGCCTAGAGACCTTCTCAATCATTGAAACTTACATCCCAATAACACCTCAAGCTCAGGCGTCTCTAATGTGAAGCGTCTACAAGTCACTCACCGCCCTTTCTTATTTTATTTAAAAATTTTACTTATTGTGCACCAAGTACAGATTGTAAATAATTCATTTTAATAATGTTGTTTTATTATTATTATTATCTTTATTATGTTTTTCCTGAACTAAAATAGTAAATAAACTACTTATTTTTTCTTGGTTAATGGGATGGCACTTGCCCTCCTCCCTTTTCTTTAATAATTGGCAATAAACACATGAAATATAATCAATAGCATGGCAAACTCAAAAGTGTTAAGATAATTTCTTTATTATTATTATTAATTTATTTAATTACAAAATTTTTCAGTAAATCGGGCACTATTACATAGGTACATAGTTTAGTAAACCACCCAACTACTCAATAACAGTTAAAATTAATCCACTCCTATACTTTGTCGAGCGAAGAAAACATGCAAGTATTCAGCGGGCCGATTAACATCAGCCCAGTTTCGTATATCTCCAGCCATAGTGTTCTTACCAATAGCACGATAGTTGTTAATCTACATACATAGAACCGACGTTGCCCTCCCTCTGAACAGATTATAATGTTATGCTATTAATTTATTATATATATTTAATATTTGAAAGGACTATAAGAGCAAATAAGGCAAAGCTTGAGGCTTATCTCCATTGTGAATCCATTCATCCACCAGAAATTTGTAAAATGTTAATATCACACTGTCTCAGCCAAAAATGGTCTCTCATTGTCTTTTTGTATATTGGTTTGGCTTTAGCACACTCAAAGAGTGAGTGCGAGCATGTATTATGATTTTACCTTTTAAGTTTGATAATAGGTCAATACAGTTTAATATTAAAACTAACAGCACAGAGTTATCTCTGCTGAATCAAGGACGTATCCAGACCTTGACTATGGGAGAAAGGGAGCGAAATAAAACAATTTAATATTAATGGTCGATAAGAAAAAAAAAAGACAGATATACTTCTAACGTTGGGTGGACCACTGTTGTAGATGAGAAGTTGGGAAGGTCGAATCTAGAGGGAAATTTAATGTAAACCTGTAAGCAAAAATTAATCATTACTAATGAAAAATGATTTTGAGAGATCGGTTAAGAGGGCGTTATACCCACATCCACTGTCTCAGTCCAACTACAATGTAATATGCAAAAACAATGATTACACAAAATAAGTAAAACCAGCTTAATTTTGATTTTAGAATAAAATTACCCATTATGAAATGTATAGAGAACAATATTTTGAAGGGAAAATCATAGGGTTTTTTAAAACATACAGCTTGATATAAAAAATTCAAAAACCTTTATTTTTTAAATAACTGTAAGTTTTTTTAATAGTTCATAATTTAAAAAACACCTGACATTCCCTTCAAAATATTATTATTTTTGTTCTAAACTAATACATTCTTTGCTACATTCAGAATCTAAAAAATTATGTCAAATATTATATAGATCATATCTATTATATATATATATATATATATATACTTCTAGACTAGTGACTTAGGGAGGGCTTGTGCTTAATATAAATAACAGCATATGCAGGTATGGTATCCTCTCAAGGCAAAATAATTATTATCTAAGCCAGTGTTTTAAAAATAGCAAATTTTTTATACCAATTAAATTAATTCTAAGAAAAATTTAATTACTTACATTAAAGACAACCTTTTTTTTTTTTCATATTACTAATTTACAGTGAAAGAACATTATTATTATTATTATAGGTAATATGAACAAGACAATTTAAAATTTCCAACAGTGAATAAATTAATTTGTTTAAAAACAATCAATTTATTTTAATTTTCAATCATTTAATACTTAATAAATTTACCTTAATGTTTTTAGAAATTTAATTCTCAACTTAAAAAAATTATGTACGTTGATATATGAATATTAATGTTTTTCAACAAGTATATTTGTATAATTAAATATGAAATTTATTACCAATAGTATAGACAAAATAATTTATAAACTAAATAATTGAATAGTTTTATGTATCATCATAAATTAAGATAGTATCTATTAATAGAATACTATCCTAATTTGTATAAAACATTCAATATATTATTTACAGAGTTATTGGAAATATATTTTTAATCGTTGCTGATCTTTAACAATAAAAACTATTCTATAACAATTTTAATTTGTAAATAATTGTAATAATATATTTTATACACAATAAATTTACCAGAATATATAACCTGCCGGAAAAAAATTTATATAAAATAATAATACCGGCAAAGGTCTTAGTATTTATTAATACATAATTAAAATTGGAATAGTTTTAAATCAACAACGAATTATCAAATTTAATTGTAAGTAAAATTTAAAAAGAAAAACATTTCAAATTACAAGAAAATGTTAGAAGTATTTATTTTACTTTCTTTATCAGGCTTGCCCGCATATTTAAAAATGTATTCAATTAAAAAAAATATGTATGTATATAAATATATAATTGAATTTTAAAAATATATTTGAGGCAAAATTATTTTCTTTATCATTTAAAACATAAAATGTGTTGAATTTTTACATGCTCTTAAAAACTAGTATAATAAATAACACATAACACAGAAACTGAAGTGATTCTAATATGTAAAATCAGTATAAATATTATATAAATAGTAAATATTTATTTTTTTTAGATTTTGGCTATTGATGTCTATGAGTGTCCAATCGTGAGTATATGATTACAAGCCAGTAGCAATGATCAAAATAAATAAGTAATTATCTACTCACAAAAAGGTCTCATAAGATATTCATTATTATTATTATTATTGTTTAAATAATTAATTAATTTTTTTTAGTACTTAAAATAAAACATTGTCTAAGTAACTATTTACGAGTATATTATAATATAATAAATAGTAAATAAAATATGCCTAATTGTGATATCGCTTTCTGAACCATGAAATTAAATGAAAAATTTAACAAAAATTATAAAACAAAAAGACCTGTATAACTTAATATATTCTTGTGGAAATATGTTTAATACCACAAATGATAGGGATATTATTATTTCCCGAATATTTTAGGTAAAATCTAGGTGTCAGTCTGAGGAGCTGTATAAAAACAGCATGGAAATACAATTCTCAGACATCGACCAATGAAGCGGCGTTGTTGTTGCTGTTGTACTGCTTGCATTGGCTGTGTTGGTTGTACCGGTGCGGCAGCTATGGGTTGGTAGCGAGGCGCAAGGTACAAGCTATTCCATGGTTCAGACAGCGGCGATGGCTAGAATGTGCTACCTTCTGGTGGCTGAGACATTTTCAAGTTATCCTTGAGTGTCATTAATCTTCGGAGCTCTTGTAGAACAGTTTTAATGGTATAATCACGTTGCCATCTTGCCAAAACTGGCACTTGTCTATAATCCACCTAAATTAAAATAATATTTCAGAATTACATATATTTTTAAATTAATAAATACATTCTGATTATTAGGTATACAATATATATATATATTATACTAGTTTTGCAACATAAATCATACATTAATTTAACCACAATGACTTAAAAAAGTAAATATACTCAACTGAATATGAAATATAAGGACACATTTTTTTTTAAAATAATGATAACTTTCCAAATATAAGAGGTAATACAATTTTACTTGTACACAAATGAGTAGTTGCAGCATTGAACATACTACTAAGTTATTAAAACATTTTTTTTTAAAAGACCAATATAATCTGCACCATGGGTGTACGACTATTGTAGGTAAGTTTTGAACATGGGCATTTTTATAGAGCCAAAATAATTTTATTCGAACAAATAAAAAGAAAAAGTACACAGAATACAGTAGAAACCGCTTATTAGGAACATTTTGGACTGAAGTGAAATGTGTCAATTAACTGATTGTTTCTAATAAACAATTGGTTTTAATACATTATTGTTTTAATATATGACTGGTCCGTTCCTATACATTTTGATTTAATAACGCTATTGTATCAATTATCCGTGTTCCTAATAAAAGGCTTCTACAATACAGTGATTTTTAGGATTTTCAATATTTTTATAATGCCATTAAAAAAACTTATTAACTTAAATTGTTCTCAAACATGTATGAGAAACCAAAATATTTTTAACCTCATAAAATCATATACACATTCAAGAGACTATAATCACTTAAAAATCATTAGAATATTTTAAAAATTATAATTAAATGGCTAGTATTATATTCATTGAATATTTAAGGTATTTACATTTTTTTAACCAAATTACAAAAAAAAAAAAAAACTGTTATTGAGTTAATTTCCCGGGTTTTTTTCTTCTATTTACTCAATCATTAAGAAAACCACCCTCGAAAATTAGGATCGGAGGAAAATTTCTGGTTGAAAAGATTTTATTGGCAGAAATAAAAAACACAGCATAGTAAAAGCAATACATTCCTCACTATGCTTAGAATCTTAGCATTTGCTGAATATAAATTAAAATTGGCATTAATTATTAACTAGCTGCAAAATAGTTAATAATAATATAATTAATGTATGTGTATTATATAATTTGTGTAAACATCTCAAATTCAATTTAGTTACCATCAAGTACTTAAAAATAATTAATAAAGAAAATAATTTCATTGTTTATTAAAAATTAATAATTCAGAGTATTCAATCTGTACACATACCTTGTAAGGAAAAATTAATTATGTAATATTCTCATTCAAAATCTAAAACACGCTAGAATCAGGTTATATTCACTTCTTTGGCTTATTTCACATTTGGATATTAGCAAAGAACAGATAAAAATAAAAGGCGTTTTGAGTAATAAGGAAATAGTTTTGTGTAGTGTACTTCAATATTGTCAATACATTTTAATACATAAATAATCAATATTTTACCTATTCCTCTCAAGAGTAAAATTGTCTGGTATTCTGTAGAGAAATCTGGGATCCAGTAAATCATATTTGCATTTTATCAAATTATTGTTAGTAGATTAATAATTTATTTTTAAACAGAAAAAATTTACTGAACATAAAAAATATCTTCTTACACATGATTACTCTTGTAATCATCAAATGAAAACATATTGAAAAACAAATAATGACTAATAAATATACAAATTATTTATGTACAGAAATGTGTAACAATATTACCTGGACTGAACGTGTAAACCCGGTTTCAAATTAAGTCAGAAAAATGTTCTAAGTATTTAGAGAACTTTGAAGGAAACTAATTCTGTGCAGTTTATAAATCTATCATTGAACTAATCATAGTGTATGAAATCATTGGTTGGGTGAGGCTTTTGAAAAGGTTTTCAAGATATAAACAAAAATTGTTAATGTTAAAACACTGTCAAATTATTCAATAATTTCTGTATACTTTATACAGTTAAAAGAATTGTTTACTAAGCCGCTATAACTTATCTTCAGAAAAATATATTATCTAAAAACACTGCATATAATACCAACACAAGATTAGCAAAAAATATTTTATAAGTGATGGTGACTATTGGAATACATTTCGAAAATTTAGATACTAAAATAGCAAATTTGTTTTCAGAAGCTTTATTTGAGTTCAAATCTTAATTGTTTTCATAACGGTTAACACATTAGCTGGGTACCATTTTCAATAGTATAATAAATTGTAAAATAATAATAGTTTCAATAAATAAGCTTGATAAATATTATCTTTTTTTTTTTAAATTAAGTTATTATATATGTTGTATGAACTAAATTAGACTTTTGAGCCCCACACAAGACTCAGTAGGGCCCAGTATTCTTTTGTTATGAGAAATAAACAATAAAAAAAATATATATAAATGAATTATAAAATTTACCAATCCAGTTGTATTATGTACACAATTCATGTTAATGCGTGTAACGAAACGAGCGACAGGTGCGTCATCTGGATACATAGGACCACATTCTACTTTTAAACTGTACATACGATTCTCATAAGGAGTCTGTAAACCAAATACAATAATACTTAATATTAAAACAATTTATGGACTTATAAGTAATTTTACTAAATATAGATACCTACCCTAGGAGGCCCGATGATCATTCCAGTCCATTGAGTTAAAGTCATATCATCATCTTTTTCAAGACCCCAACTAATAGTGCCATCACCTACACCTTTTTGCCCTTGTTCAAGTTCTTCTAGAAGTCTAAAATTTCTTGGAATCACTAAGAAAAAAATAATAGTCATTAAATAAGTAATAAAAAAAAAACCAAACAAAAAACTCAAAAATATTTGTTTTACTAATAATTTATAAAAAATATAATAAGTACCTAGGTAAATAACTTTAAAAAGTCAACTTAAGACATTAAACATTGGCATTATCATTGTTCATAGAAATCATAGAGGGCTCTTATCAATTGACAGCCTAAACCAAAGCCTAACCGTAATATTATTCATTTTTTTTTTTTAAGTAGACATAAAATTTCAAGGAAAAAATTTAAAAATTAGCCCTAATTGACCAAAATTAAAAACTATTGTCTACTAGTAATTATAGTAATAGATATGGCTAGCAATAACCCTAGGTATTCCAAAGTAATTATGAACTACCAATGGTTAAGTAGAAAATATAATAAAAATTAATTTTTTTTTCATCATTCAAATGATAAATAAGTAAACAATGACTCATTAAACAAAGAATAGGGATATAGTGCAATTTATAAATTATAAGAAAATCGGTAACAGACAATGACATTAGACGGTTTCATTAAAATATTACAAGTATATGTGACTAGTCCTCATTAGTTTATACGATGATCAACCAATAGATTAATCATACCAAAAATATCTATTCCTGATGGACGAAATTTACTTCTGCTACATATTTAATATTTGTTTACTACAGTTAAAAAAAATAACGTCAACAAGGATTTGTCAACCACAGACTTGTTCGCCGAGTACTGCAGCATTGGATGCGATATTTAACAAGAGTATAATCAAAAATCATCCCATCTAACCACCCCCTATGGTCGGCGAATGATACGTTTCTCTCCTCCGTATACGCGGTAGCCGCGGCCACACGTCAAGAACACGCTGGCTATGCAACTAACGGCCGCACACACCACACGGACCGAAGTAATTTGCCGCGTGCGTAAAATGCAACTCACCCACTGTATTTGTTACGGCCATCGTGGACGTTGACGACGACGACGACGGTTATGTCAGACGACGTTGGAGTAACGGCAATGGAATGGACACACACGGCAGAACAGGAACAACGGAGTGACACAGGACGACACGCGAAATGATTTATCACGAGAATACGACAACCAAATGTTTGGAAAATCAACGAACGACGGCGGCAACGGTGGTGGCTACGCTACCGTGGTGACGACCGCAGACGATTGGCCCTGAGCTGCCGAAGTTTCAGTCTTTCTGAGTACAGTGCCACAAATGTAACCGTTTGCATTAACCGCACACGCACTGCCGACCATCTACTTATCTCTTATCAGCTAATCATTGTCCCATGGCTGATAATAATAGTCTTATCACATCTCAAATTTTTATTTGATTTTCTAATATTTATTTTATTTTTTATGAGTATGTTCAATTGTTTTTTTACTTTCCATCATGGATGTGTACTGATATAGGTACTATGAAAAAAATCTACACAATAATTTACAGTATCAGATATCCGTGCTTTCTAAATTGTGTTGTTTTTCCTCGTAACTCATAACTCATAAGTTCAATTACAGAGAGCCTGTATATTATTTTATATTATTTAAATATATCTATATAAAACATAATATTCAACGGTCAAAAATCAGGACATTCAGATTTTTTTGTGTATTTAGTTCTTTACACATTCTAAAATGAATATATTACCGAAAAAGAGGTGAGAAATTTAATTTTGGTTTTCGAATTCTAGATATAATTGTTTTCTCTTTTGGTTTTCTTTGTACTTATATAGGTTAGTAAAAATATAATTAGATCACAGTGCAGGTAAACCACCTACTTTAGGGATGCTACAATTATGGACACATCAAAGACTCATGGGAACTATACCCTCATAATTCTCTTTACACATATCTTATAACAAACAACTACACAATTTATTTACAATTTTATGTATACAAATTGATCATAACTATTTTAACATTATTTTTAATACACTCATGCATGATCTGTAGGGAATTTGTATTTTGTTTTGCTTATTAATTGTGAAATAATGGAAAAAATATTTCATTGTTAGTTGTTATTATGAAAAAGCTTATTAGGTTTTCTTTTAGGGCGCCAAAGACCCGCTAGCACTCCCCTAGTTGCGCCTATGAAGTTAATAGATTTAGTTGCATTTATTATCTTTGAAATACTTCACTTTTGGTTATTTTGGTTTATTGTATGTATTACCTAGGTATATTTTACATAAATTGGATTTTGTTATTTACAAAATTCAATTAAAATTTGTTATTTTATTAGTTTTAAAATGAATGTGGGAATTGTTTTGTTTTTTTTTATTTATAGTTTTATTTGTTCACTACTCACAAAATTCAATTTTTGAAAGGGTAATAAATTTCATATTTTTTTTTAAATGATAAATTGATAATTCTTTCCTACTCCTACAGTGTAAACATTAAATGATTATAACTCATGAACAATAAATCTGTTATTAACAATTATTCTGTGTCCAAAAAGGGATCACCCTGTATTACTTGATTATTAGCAAATGTCAGTAATAAAATTATTATGAATTACAAACAAGACAAGAATAATAAAACATAGAAGTACATAAATACTTAATTTATTAATTTTAAAGGTGGCATGTCCGAACCAAAGATAACATTGCACGCGTTAGGCGAGATGAAGCACAAGCTGCTGAAGAAGAAAAAAAACTTAAAATGAGAATACAATTAGCTGTAAGTATAGTTAACAATTATTATTAAATAATATGAATTACGATTAAATACCTTAATTAAAACTACTATTAAATATTAGCGAAGTGTTTTCACTGGTTGGTTCTTGTCATTCATTATGGTTATTATATCTAAATTTGATAGATAGTACAATTTTCAAAATAAAAATTTAAAAAAAAAAAAAAACAATATTATTCACAAATTAGTATAGATTATTGAATACAATTTTAAATATCAATTATAATATTTAAGTTTTCAATATTCTGTTACTTTTTAAAGAATTTATCAATCATTTTGATCTACAGCATCTTTAAGTGTTCTCTAAAAATCTCAGGGCCCTGACACCCTATATGTAACTTATATTTTATAGAATTATAAACAAAGATACCAATTTATTTTTTATCATTGTTTGCAAAATATACATGAATGTGATCAAATTGAATAATGTACACAAATCTGTTATTTACAATCAATGACATTTTAATAAGTTTATAATACTGCAAAAATTGTTTTTTTTTTTTTTTTTTTAATGTGTATGTTTTATATAGTTTATATAAGGCACTCTTGTAACAAGTTAAATAACTTAATAGATAATTGTAATTTAACTTAATGGTTAATAACTTACATTTAAAAATTAATAGTTTTCAAATAATTTGTTGTTTTTATAATTATTTATAAATATAGGATTATTTTTTTTTTTTTACTTTATTTATTTATTTCCAATCACATCATAATCTAAATTAACAATAGGAAACTTTTTAATATTATTAACCGGTAACTAACAACCATAATAATAATAGTAATATTTATGTTTTATATCAGGAACAAGAAGCAAAACTTACATTGTTAAGAAACAAGTCAAAACAAATATATGACGACTCTGCAGATCGACCTGAAGAAACTAAACCAGAAGTTCTAAATCATGTTAATTTTTTTCAAGATCTTGAAGATGGACATGTGGCTCATACAGGTGTCAACAAAGAACATGAACAGGAAAAAAAAGAAGAAAAAGAAGCATACGAAAAAAAAATTGGTTACCTTACATATTTAGGACAAGACACTGATGAAATTACTGGCAATGTACAATGGTATAATAAAAAACCAAAGCGTTTGGAAATATGTAAAACTGAAAAAGAAATTGAAACAAAAATTAAAATATCTAATGATCCACTTATGGTAATGAAGAAATATATTGAAAGTGATAAAAAGGATAGTAAAATATCAAAAGTATTAAACAAAAAAAGGGATGATTCCCCAATAAAAAAACATAAGAAAAAAAAAAAGAAAAGAAAAATGGAAAAAGAAAAAGAAAAAGAAAAAATAGATTTAGAAAAACTTAGAGAAAAAAGATTAAAAAGAGAGAGAGAAGAGAGGTTTAGAGCTAGTCAATTAATAGCTAAAATGAATGGAGATGTACCAATAGAAGTTCCAAAATTACAACCAAAACCAACTATAGTACAAAAGTATAATTCTCAGTTTAATCCATATTTAGCTAAACAAAATTACCAAAACTAGCATAACTAGTTTTAATTCATAAAAAAAAAAGAAATGTTAAAAATCTATTTTTTTTTTTTTTTATATATGTATTCGATAATATCTAATCAATGCTATAAGTATATGCTTTTTAAATTTAAATTTTAGAGTATTTACCGAATATTTTTAATTGATGAAACTACATTTTTTTCAGTATTTATAAGTGCTTTATTAAAATATGTTACTAATTGGGACCATCCATTTACCACTGAACTATTGTATCAAATTAGTTTTCCCACAATTAGTTCTATGTTCAAGCTCAGCATAACATTACTGAAGCATCCCTATTTGGAGTGGAGTTTTATCCCTCACTATATAGCAACCATTAGGGAGTATATTTTCACTGAATTTGACTTTATGGAAGATGTTAATCAAAGTTTGTCTTATTTAAAATTAAATATCACTTTTAATTTATATTGGCACTGTAATAATTGAACTACAATTTACATGTCTCTAATAAGTATAATGTATACTAATATATTAATGTTAGTGTTTAAGTTGTTCTTATTGATATTGTTTCTCATTCCATAGAGTTAAGAGAAATACAAATATATAAATGATTGCAATTGTTATAAGAGTAGCAAAAAGTTCATTGTTAATGGAAATGAAAACTATGACATCAGGTTTTTAATATGAATTATGGATATAGTATAGGTGCTTTTATATTTTCACCACACCTCGAAATGTATGTAAAAACCCATGCAAAAAACTGAAGTTAAACATTCAAAATAAATTAATAAAGCATATATTTCTATTTATATACACATTTTTACTAAAACAAGATGTTTTAAATATAATACGATAAAGAAATGTTTACAATTTATATCATATTCATATTAAAATGATGCAAATAATATTTTAAACATGTATACTAATTTTCATATTTGCAAGATTTATTTTATATGCACTAATATGTTACGTCAGACTATTTATTCAATCCATGAACAGAATTAATAAAATTAGATACATAAAATGTCAAAATATATTAGTCTGTACATTCTTCTGTACACAAATTATAATTCTTATTTTTTCTAGTCAACATAATATCATGAATATACTTGAAGTTTTCAATCTTGTTTTTACAATAAAATCTAAAGTAAAAGATAAATTAATGTTAATTCATAATAAAAGTTGTTTAACTTAATCAAACATAATACCTACTTCAGCAGTGGCTTCTACATAGAAGCTACATATTGTCTGATGATATTTTTAGATTTAAATCTACCATATTTTTAAAAAATTATAATTTTAATTAGTTCCGTTGTCATTTAGTATTTTCTTTTAGATTTTATTTTTGTAAACTAGTTATAACATATTTTTCTTCTTGTATATTTAATTTATATAGTGTTGTACATGTTCACTCTTTATATTCATTAGCTTATGTTATTTTCTACTAATTTATTTTACTCTTGCATATTATAATCTATATTGTAAAAGGACTAATTTCCGTTTAATTATTATAAAATGAAAAAAATAATCAGTATTATTAAGTAAGTAACTATTTTTATTTTGACCTATTATGTTGAAAAATCCATTGCCAGAAAATAATATAATTAGGTTAGCTATGGTGAATAAAAGTGTGAAGTCTATATAAAAATCGAAAGTAAAAGAAACAAAATCTTAGACATTTTAGATTTATGAATTTACGAATTGCTTTATTTTAATAATGAATATTACAGTTTATAATTGAGACATTAAGGCCTAACTTTATATTCTTTATGTCGATTCAAATCAGAAAAGTAATACTTCTTATCCTGACCATTACAAATGAGTCTACACCTAAAATGCATAAAATCAAATGAAGTAAAATATACAATACAAACATTTACTATATTTAAAAACCCTTGCTTTGATCTGATTGCATCTGAAGTAGATTCTGATTAATTATCAAAAAAATAAAAAATCAAACTTTTTCTAATTTATATCTAAACTCCATGATAATAACTATTAACAAATTTCTTTGTACTGTGAAGATTCTCAATAATATTGATGACACCAAATCCAGGGAAACCTCCAGACACCCTAAGCTCTTATAGACCTATCAGCTTACTCCAACTATTCTCAAACATTTTCGAAAAAGTTATCTTAAATCGTCTTATCTTAGTGATAAGCAAGGATAACAACCCTACAGACTAATATATCCTGACATTTTATGTATCTATTTTTATTAATTCTGTTCATAGATTGAAGTATATTATTATATATTATTACATATTATTGGTAGTTCAGTAAAATTTTTACTTAGGTATCTAAGTACCTAGTAAGTTTTAACGTTAAGTATAGACAAATCAATGATCGCGGGATTAAACTGAATCGGTTTAACTAAAAGACCAAGATGGTATTTTGAATCATAAAAATAAAACGCATTCGTTTTATTCAGCAAATGCCTAATCAAAATTCAAAATGGGTATTTTTATTGTCTCGTTTCATAACGTTAGAAAATTGTGTCTAGACAAAACATCGTAACTACCTATAGAGAGCCTAAATAATAATCATCCAAGCTCCCTATAATCGCACCTATATCTAAATAACTTATCTGAGTAATAGTGCAATAAAGATAAAAATACCTACCTCAATATCATTAAAAGTATACGTATCTACCATTTTTTTTTCATAGTAAACCCGTTAGTTCTATTGTGGCGGGGTTGCGGAAGACGTTTTTTTTGTAGGTAATAATATTTTTAAAATACGTATGCTCCATCAATTTAGATAAATCGTAAATTTTGGGTACCTAGGTACCTACTTATATCTAATCGATAAATCGACCATATAGGTAATTTTGTATATTTCATAATAATATTGTTCTTATTGCTCATAATAATAATACAGTAATTTGTACTCGTAGAAATGGCTGATATAGGTAAGTATTTTGTGAAAAGTTCAGGTTAACTTTAACCGAATTACAACAAATAGATAAAATGTAATTTTAATTTATGTAATTTTTGTATATTTACAATATCTACGATTTTTCCGAACTACAAGAAAAATAAAAAAGACGAATATACTTCGCACGTGGGAGAAGTCACTGAAATAGGTGGGAAGTTGGGAATTAGTCGACTATTCTTAGCAGAGTTTAGTTGATAGTGATGCTTTGTCAACAATATATACAGAGTGTAACGACTATTTAACATTTTTACATTTAACTATGATGTAAAAACGTCAGATGGTCTGTTATATCATGTATATGTCATATTATTATGGTAAAGTAATTAAATAGCTAGGCATAATATATATATTTTTTTTAATAATATTTGTTTAACATTATACCGATTTTCCCGTTTTTTGACATGTATCTGGAAAATCAAAAAATGAAATCCAAAAAGTACTTCCCCAGTCTAATTTCCTTTCAGAAAAAGTGCTACGCTTTTTTAAAAATCGTAACAAGATTTCCGGTAGAAAAGTTGTCCACAGAAAAAAAAAAAAATATAAGCTTCTTGGTTCCACTCAGAATCTAAAAATTATGGACGACTAGAAAATCCCGGAAAATAATCGTACGGACTATCGTTCGGAATGCAAATTTACGGACAAGAAAACGGCGAACTGTAAAAATCCGGAAAAAATAAAAACCTAAACCGTATGATTATTAAAAAATTCCGGATTTTTACAGTAAATCTGATTATTTTCCGTACAATTCTGGTTTACCAAAATTATTTCTTCAACATACAACCTATAGTTAACATTTGGTTCCAGAAAAGATGCTACACTTAAAATCAGAGCAAGATGTTTGGTACCTAGATTGATTGTTTACGAACAGAAAAAAAAAATACATAGTAAAACAAATACATTTCTCCCTGCCCTCGGAATCTAAAAATTGGAAGACTTTGGACGTTTGTTTTTTTGGTGATAGTGGGGAGGTGAAATTTCAATTGGTTTCGTCCTCTCTCTGCTCGAATTTTAATAAACAACCACTGACGTTAAGTTGAGTTCAATCATTCCAAAGTACGATTTTCTTGCTAATGACTACTAAATATTGGCGTTTCAAACGAAAGAATAAGTAGGTACCAGATACTGATTGTAGCTGCTAACAAAAAATAAATTCGCTGAACGAACTGGTGCTGGCCGCCCGCGGTAGAGTCCGAGATTAATTTCTTTATGCTTTAGCACCGGTTCCATGTTTTAAGGGAAAGTGGCCGTTTAAAGTGTGGCAGCACTGTCGATCGACAAAGGCGCATGCGCCGGACTACTCGTTCCGATAATTTATTTCCAATAAGCCGCTCTGCCGTCGTGCTGTTTGTTATATTAAAATTTTTTTTATTAGTATTTTCTATAAATTTATTTCGTTTGCGAGTCTTTCACGCAAATTTCCATAGATACGTATATTTTATTTACTCCCTTAAGCACACCTAGGAAAAAAATCAATTTTAATGTCAGAATTACAGTCTGCGTTATTATTAAAGAAACAACTTACTGGTAAGTACAATGGATATTAGTACATACATTTCACGATTCACTGTTGTCGTTACTTAATATTGCTTCACATTCTTGTTTTAAATTAAAATAGATCGGGCGATACATAAATGCTAAAATAGTTTTCCTAGTCCTGGTCTTCTGACAGATATGACCATGTGTCCTAATTAATAAATCATATTTTCTCTTAACATTTATACCTATTTACAGCCTTTATTGGTTTTAAAATTGTGAATGAATATGAAGGTATTAGTAATAATTATATTAAAAATATAAAGTAGATATTTATCTTGACCATGAAATAAAAGAACATGTGGATTTCTTGATTTCTTGATCAAGGTTGAACAAACTTAAGAAAAAGATAAAAATGTTAATGAACTCTTTTGTTTAGAATTACACAAGAACCCAGTGGAAGGGTTCTCTGCTGGTCTCATAGATGATAACGATATATACAAATGGGAAGTTCTCATAATTGGACCTCCTGACACCTTATAGTAAGTATTCATTAGAATAATACATTTCACTGGGAAAACGTAAATTATTCTATATTTTAATTGTTAGGTTATAATTTTTTTCTCTATCTATTAATTTAACTTGATTTATAATTTGTATACATTTAAAATGATACATAGTATCATAGGCTGACAATGATATATAACAAGGGTGGCCCAACAGTCGATTGTGGATGATTTAAATGTCAATCTCCATTTTTATGTAATTAGTAGATAAATATCAATTCTCTAATCATTTTTATCTTAATATATTATTATTTTGTTGTACATTTTAAAATAGGTGATACAAAGCAACAAAGTTTATCTTGGAAATTGTATTTATAATAATATTATGTTAGTCTTAATTTATAGTGTGATAAAAAACATTATTTAACTATACATTTTTGTTATGAAGTCTATCCCCAAAAGAAAAATATATTCTTAGTAGATATCTACCAAAAAATGTTTGGCCCCCTGATATATAAGTAATACTTAATAATATGCATATCATAGTTTTCATTAAGTACCATGGTTACTTGGTATAGTAGATAGTGTTGATTTTATAAAATTATTAATCTGAATACCTAGAGTTATTGTAATCTAATAAAATCTACATACAATTATTATCTGTAGTGTAGGTACATATATTAATTACTAATTTTAATAATTTAATTATGTATACAACTAAAAATTTATCATATTTCATAAAATTCTAAAATATGTTCATAATAATTTTTAGATAGTACTATTTATTACCATCTGTTAGGTATGTACTTGTAATTTGTATTATTACTTTTCATAAAGTTCTTTATTATGATTATAAATACTAACTGCATTTTAATCTTTTTAATCAGTTTTAAATGTTGCAAATTAATTTTTAATTTTTTAACTATATGGTTAATGAAATTAGAATATGCCAGGCAACCTTATTATACTAATTTTAAAAGAACACAATTAGACATTATTCATATATTTATAATTAAAAAAAAAAAAAAATTAAACAAACAGAAAGTATTATTAAGAATAGGCATGAAATCTGAATATCCGGATTTGAATCAAATTTGTATCCTCGATATGCCCATCACTAATTTTAATTAATCAAATTTATATGTAAAAAATATATACTTACATAAAAATTAATATTTAAATAGAATTGGGTTATCAATTAAGTTTGAAGCTAATTAAATATGTGTACGCAAATTGTAAATCCATAAAGGTCTTATAAAATAAATGTGTATAAATCTCAGCCTAAGGTCATTTTTTTTTTTTGGGTGTACTATGGGGATGTAAAAAAGTCTTCAAAGCCAAACGAACCTTGTTTGAAAGTTATTGGGAAAGACTAAATAAAGTTCTAAAATGTATGTTTTTAAATGTTTAATCCATTGGTATAATCAAAACTTACCCTGTTACCTTTTTGACTTGGTTTTGCACAATAAATCGAGAGTTACTTTCAATTAAAATCATCTAAATAAGTCAGCGAAACACAGTGCGTTACTATTGTTTATTGCTGTTTTAATACCCCAAAGGGGTAAATAGTACAGTACAAAGATGAGAAGAAAGAGTTTGAAGCTTTCCACTACAAACTCTCATACTAGTTTTAGTTATACATGTTAAATACTAAAAAGCTAATTAAAGTTTGTTTATTCAATACAATTTTTTTTAATTTGATTAATAAATCAAAGAAAAAAATCAAAATATAGTACAATGTTACATAAATCTAAAAGTTGGTATTCCGGGCTGAACTTATTATATTAGTAGAGCAATTTGGAATTAAAAAGGGACAGTGATTCTTAGAATTAAAGGCTGGTACATTAAAGTTTATTCTTTTTAAAAACTCGGAACATGATATTTTGTTGTTAAACCTTTGAACTCTAAAACTAAATCAGATAGACTTATTCTGACTTCAATTAAAAAAACTTTGTTATCAAATTATCAATAATTAAACATATTATTAATTAACAAAACTGTCTATTTTTGACCACATTTTGGATCAATTCCAAAAATACTATTTTTAAGGTTTATGAACCAAAATTATAAAAGTATGATAATTAGGTTCTGGTTATACCAATGTATTTAGAATTTGAAAACGCATTTTGGTATAAAAAATTTGAAAAATGAGTTTGGACAGTTAACTTCATACTAGCTATTTTTGTGAAAAATTATTTTGATAAAAATAGTCGAAAACTTTTTAAAGTAATTTTAAGACTTTATATATGTCACAAAGAGCATATGACATTATAATGGTTAATCTACTAGCTAAAAAATCTGGTTGTTTATGGTTGCAGTTGAGAATTTATTATTTGGTTTTAAATGATGATATGCAATATTTTAATTATTTATTTTATAGTGAAGGAGGATTTTTCAAAGCTCATCTTAATTTTCCAAAAGAATATCCATTAAGGCCACCAAAAATGAAATTTGTTACTGAAATTTGGCATCCTAATAGTAAGTACTTAAATTATTAAGTAATTAATTTTTCTTTTGATCAATAATTTATTTTTTAGTTTCTATTTATTAAACAATTTATAAAATACACTAATATATTGCTGTTGTTATTTTTTCTTAGTTGATAAGAGTGGTGATGTTTGCATATCTATACTTCATGAACCTGGTGATGATAAATGGGGTTATGAAAAAGCCAGTGAACGTTGGTTACCAGTACATACTGTTGAAACCATATTGATATCAGTTATTTCAATGTTGGCTGATCCAAATGATGAAAGTCCAGCGAATGTTGATGCAGCTAAAGATTGGCGTGAAAATTATCCTGAATTTAAACGCAAGGTTGCGCGTAATGTGCGTAAAAGCCAAGAAGATATCTAATAACAACTTTGCCAGTTGCTCTATGTATGTGTTGCCAACGTTTAAATCTTTAATTGATGCCAGGGTAAACAATATTCTGTATATTTATTTTTTTTACAATAATGTAATAAGGTAATTAACAATTTGTATCAAAATAATATTCACATAGGTAAACATATATAAGAACAAATACATTTGTCTACAACAATGCTGTCTTGATTACTTACTTTTTATTACGTTGATTTTTAAACAATTCAAAGTGATAAAGAAACTTTTAGTTAAGTCTCTTATTTTTTTTTATATTATGTGTCTTAAGTGCTCATTATTATGAAGGCCAGATTTCATCAAAAATACCAATCGTGGTTATAGTAATCAGAGTTTAAGTTAATGATTTATCGACATTTAAATTTCACCACACTAATCACGGATACATACACTTCCTGATTAACCTGACTAATCATGATTAATATCATTATTGAAATGGCTGTGTTATGTGATAAGATAATAATAATAATTTGAATGGTTATAGTCGTATGCTTGTTTTTCTCAATTTCGAATTTATTAATTTACATTTTTAAATTTGAGTATGAATATATTAAAAATGAAGAGGGGGATTTTATTAATACTCTTAGAAAGTTGTAATCGTAAATATCTTATCTCAACATTTTCATGTTATTAGTCTAAGCCAGGGTGATTATAAGATTGGAAAATGCAGAGTAGGTCAAAATTGCAGAGAAATTCTCCGCAGTAGCATCATCAATGTACCCAAGAAATTCTAACTGTTTAAAAACCCTTAACAATAAAATAAATTTTTTGTTTCGCACTGCCCCAAATTATTTATTTATTTTAATGCTACACAACTGATTGTACTAAGTGTTAAAATACATCTCACTATGTTTTAAAAAAAAAAAAATTAAAAATTAACACACTTGTCATGATTAAAGAATGGCTTAAATTTGGCTAGTTATTTCTTAACTGTGAATTACGTTCAACCAAACTTGAAATCGAATTTGAAAATATCTGGTGAGCTGCATGAATTAACATGATTAAGATTTGCTAACTGTGATTAATATAATTAGTAAAATCAGCCTTAAGTTATAAATTATTTGAATTTCTGAACAAAATTTGTACAATAAAAATTAAATAGTACAAGTTTTTATTAAATATTATCTAGACCAGGGGTTGTCAAAACCATAAGTATTATATATACTATATGTGTATTGTATTATTGAAGTTCTATTAGACGATTTTTGTAGAGGTCACCATGAAGAATTAATAAATTACATGAAGAAAAAATTAGGGGGTTGCAATTTGTAAAAGGTTGAAAACTACTGATCAAGACTCAGAATATTAGTGAAGATTATATACATTTTGAAAACAAATTGTGCAGATTTCTAATTATAAAACCTAATATTATGTCAATACATTTGAAACTCTAATTAATATTGTATATATGTATCAAATTATTTTTATTAGATTATTTGTTTCTTTTCAGTATTTAAGTTAATTAATTATTAACCTGTTTCAGGTAGCAAAATGTAGAGCAACCAACATTTATAAAATGTGATTTACAAATATAAGTTTATTTTGGAAACAAAAAACATGTCGGTAACTTGAAAAATTCTGAAGACCATTAATTAAGCATACAAATTTTGAATTTAAAATATAACAAATTGTCTTCTGATAATTTTTGTAATTTACTGAAGAATTCATGTATATGATCACAAAATTATACAAAATTAAGAAATAGTGTGCTCTTTTTCATTGATACATTTAACTTATTTACATACCTTTTTATATTTGATACATATTAAGTATAAATATATAGATTTTCAGAAATTGATGTTGACTTTTCATTATGATATGGTTATATAGTATTATAACTTCTTAAATACCTACACGATTAATGTGAAACAATTTCAATTTAGTACAATTTATGATAGTGGTTTATTGACAGTTAAGTAATGCTTTACCTTCATACTTGACTAGTGTAAATACAATTTTAATTTGTAATGTTTTGTAAAAAAAAAAAAAGAATAATAAATAAATATATATGTATGGCAATGCAAATAAACAATACAATAATGTACAGTCACAGACTGAAGTTAATTTTTTATGATTATATTAAAGTTAATTGATAATATATAATTATAATCATGAAACATTTATTTTAATACTTAAAATTGTCATTATACATTTGTATTATGTAAATAGTGCGTAACCAATGTTCCAATGTTTATCTATAATAAGTATATAAGAATTTATAAATTTCATGTTTTTTTTTTTTTTTATTATTAATTGTAGGTCCTTATGGACAATTTTATAACAGATTATTTTTAATACTATTTTTATTTTATTTTTTTTTTTGTAATTATTTTAGGATATTATAGATCAATTATTTTAACTTTTTAACTGTTATTGGTCCTCAATTTTTTTATTTCTTTCCTACAATATTTTATTTGTAGTATTTATGTTGAGATGAACAAAATTTTTTTATTTTATAAATGTAAATTGACCAATGGATGTAAATTATTAGTATATATTAGAGTAGCTTTAATAACCAGTGTTATCTATAGGCAATTTACTACTAATTTATACTTAAGTATATATACTTAATACTTGAAAGTTATTCATTTTGTAATGATTCTTAATCTAAAAACTGAATTTTCACATCATAATTTTGAACTATTTTAAATTGGTACCTATTTTCGTTTTATAATGCTGATTTTTTTTTTTTTGTTAAACATTATTTTGGAACATAGTTTTATAAAAATATATATTTCGTAAGCTGATACTACTGACGAGTGTGCCGCTGTTATAAATGGGAAGGTAGGATACATAGTTATTACTTATTTGATTTAAATCTGTAAAGATAAGTTTTTGCTTACAAAAAATATATTCTGACAATAACTTGATTAATCAATTCTTTAAAACAAATTACACTTATTTCACTCATTAATTTATGAATTGTATAATTGAACAACAGAGCTGTCTCTTAACCCCCTCTACATCACCATTTCAATTACCGCTACAACTTAACCGTGACATACGGTTAGAAATAACTTAAAAATTGCTAGGATGTTTTAAATATTTTCCTGTAAATATAACCTATAAGACGTATTCCAAAAAAGTTTTAAATCTGCAAATTACAATTTAAATATATAAAATTGTTAATGAAAACCTCTAAGATAATAAAAAAAATGACCTTGGTTAGGTCTCCATCTACTTGATCAAAATAACAACAAAACTGTTTTTTTATAATTTTTTGATTGTAACAAGATTATTAGTAATTGTGGTTGTTAACAAACGCAAAAATAATAATCACATCACAATAGAAGTAATATATTCCTCCCTGAGCTTTGAATCTTAAAACATTTTCCAATTGATTAATAGCTAAGGTTGTAGGAACCAATTAAAAAATCAAAACTGTTAATTAATTTAACAATTAATGATTTGATTACTATGCATTTATAATTTTACATTGAGATAAAAATGACATGATTACATATTTAATTTTCATGTAGGTAGGTATTTTTGAATCTTGGCTAGTAATGAACTCTCATAGAGTAAATGTTCGGAATATAAATAATTATACTACATTGTAAAGAAATATAAAAATGATACTTACCCCGTTTGAGTAGTAGTGTACTATAAATATTACATTTAGGTACTATTTTTAAAAATATTTTAGGAGGGATAAAGAAGAAAAAAAACATATGAATAGAATATAATGGTATTTTTACAGTAAATTTTTTAGCTAAATAAAATATGGACATAAAATATTTTGTTAATGTGAAAAACTTATAACATGCCATACCTCTGCAAGAAAATCAACTTTAAGTCTTAAATAAATCTAATTACCATATTATGTAATACAGTAAAATAATATTTAATATATATTATATCATTTTAAAATCAAAATACCTATTTGGAGGCTGTATTTTATAACTACAGTATTTAGGTACCTATCATTAATATCTATATTTGTGTACAAATGAAATAATTTTAGATTCATATTGCATCACAATAATAAAAAAATAACTTGTGGGCAGGTATGGTCTTGATGACGTTAATAATTCATAATTAACTATATTTATATAACTAACATTTATGACCTTTTATCGATATAATCAATAATAGAATTTAGATTAGCAAAATTTCCACGGTAAATTTTAAATCATACAAGTACCTATATGCAGACGTGTCTAAATCTCCATGGTTAGGAAGTCAAATTGTAACATTTTAGTTTTTACATACTACTGCAATTATTTATAATCTACCTAATATTTGTGATTCTGTTCTCATAGTATTACAATGTTAGTACATGTAATTTGTCATGTAAATATGTAAACATCTAAAATTTACAAAAACCATGTTAGATACTTAGTATAAAAAATATCAAGTTAAATAAAACGCTAATAAGTACATAACTAAAAAGTATTATTTGTTATTATGTTATTTGTATAATTATGAAAGAAATACAATTATTTCTATAAAAAAGTAAAAACTTGTTTAAATTTAAACGTTTATATTATTGCAAGTAATTAATGAATGAATGAACAAACATAACATAATGCAATATCAATAAATAATCCAATATTAAAAATTTTTTTCTTAGTTAATGTGATACACCTATCTATTATATTGATGATTATACCTACTGGTTTCACTATTTTTAAAAATGTACCTCTAAATTTTAGTACACACTAAAAAGGATTTTGAAGCTAATACTGCGTTCATTGAGAATAATTCCATCCAATATCTCACTGGAAAATTGAGCATTGATTTTTCATATGGACTATTGTACCCATTGGCAGACCTATAGTTTTACATTTGAGTATGCTCAGCCTTTTATGAAGTTTTTTTTTATAATGTGGACATAAACTATAGACTTTATAGATTATAAACAATTAGTATTCACTCGCTTTATACATTTTTCTAAAACAATTTTTTGTGTATTTTATAAAATACACATGGGCCAAATATGGCCGTTACCATTGGTACTGTTGATCACCACTGAATTTTAGTATTAATTAGTACACAATTTTGTTGCTGGTCTACTTGACAGAATATAAAAGCCTCGCGTAACATTATTATTGAGCCTTTAACCTATATACTAAATTTATGCATAAACAAAAGTAGGTACTTTTTCTCAAACATTGTTCAAATCAAGAAATAAAGAAGCAATGTCAAATTATAGGCCAATCTCTATGCTCTGTAATTGTTGAAAAATAATTACTTAAATAAGACTTACATTTTACTTATAAAGCAATGCGTTTTCATCCAAAATCCCATTTGGCTTCAGACCTGGTAAAAGTACAATCGGAGCTCTTCACTTAATTACAGAGTTTATTTACAAAAAAATTGACAATGATGAGAAAGTACTTGCAACTGCTTTAGACATTGCTAAGGTATTTTTTACAGTTAATTACAATGAACAAATCAGAATATTGCCCAGGTAGGGTATAGTGAATAATAGTCTAAACTGGCCTAAATGGAAACAAATGGTTACTGTAAATGGTGTACTCAGCAATGAAAAACTAATTCAAATTGGTGTGCCACAAGGTAGTGTGTTAAGGCCGGTTTTGTTTATTTAGTACAAAAACCATATATGTAACCTAAGTATAGATGTTTTAATAGTTACTTTCAGGTAACCACCAGTAAAAGTTAATTTCCTCGAAAAAAAAAAGTAAATGTATTTCAGCATAATTTTTGACATAAATAGTTATTTGAAGAAGTGGTCAACCGGGAAAACTCCTGAAGTCCCGGTATCCCAATCCGCCCCTGGCCACCTGTGCACATATTGAAGAATTTAATTTAATTTAAAGTCATTTTTTTATTCACAATCATTATGTTTAAAGTTAAATCAAGTTTAAAATGTAAAATATTTTGGATCACTCCATACAATAAAAATAAAAAGTATTCGCTATGGTCTGTAAAATTATTTAAATTTTAAACCATTAAAATATATTTTCATTGCAATTTTTAAAGATAGAATATTTTTTATAATTTTTGTTAATTTTAAGGACTGAGAGAACTAATGAGAGATTCAGCTCTAGATTTAATATTATTACAGGGATCAAAAACTGAGTTTTGCCTTTTTTTTTATAAGTCAGTTTGCAAATCCTTGTTTGCCATTTTTCTTTACATGTACAATAATGACATAAAGTACTGAACTAAATAATAAACTAAACTATTTAATTTTTAGTATAAGTATTTCTTCTTATTGGCCTTCATTTTAGCTATTTGTGGTCGGCTACCCTAGTCCTAAATTTCCACCCTATTCCTACCTTTCTTGTAATATTTATTTTAAATTCTGAGTGGAGCGAATTAGAAAAATTCAAATAGGGACTAGAGAAAGTTTTCTGGGAGAAAATTTGTTCAGACAAAAAAAAAAACCAAACAAATTGCACGTGGTATAACAAAATACCAATTAATTCTTAGAATCAACAAAATTCAAAATATTTATGAAAATCTCTCAAAATACTTAGGTAAATAAATATTTCTGACTTCATTATTGACCTTTTAAATAATATTAGCTAAGCACTTATAAACAAGTAATATTATTAATTATTATAATCATCATTTGTTTATTTTTAAATACAGTTAATTGGGTTATAAATACATGTATATCTTTGATTTTATCTAGGTAAATAATGAAAATGTATAATATTCATAAAAAACCTATTTGTATATTATTAAATTGCGGGTAATTAGTTGTTATATTGTAAAATATATAAATACAATTGCCAATTGGTTTATTATTTACTATAATTTATTGTGTTATTTACGTAGGTAAAAACAGATAATATTTATCTGATTACTAGTAGATAGGATTTAAATATGACGTATAAAATAGAACCTCACTTGGCAACTAAAGTTTATTCCTTATAAATTACTAGTAAATTGTCAAAATATCACCATTTATCATATTATAAGAATAAATAATAATAATGGTATAATTAATACATTTAACTAACCAAAAAATAATGACAAGCATTCTTGATATTAAAAAATATATTTAATTTTAGATAAAAAACAAAATCAATATACTAGATGTTTCAGAACTCATGAGGCCAGAGCTGGAATTTGCTTCCAAACAAGTTGGACAGTATAGGGATTACAGTATAGATAGTGAGGATCCTATCAAAGAAAGAGTGAGGATCACATACACAGAAATGCATGCCAATCAAACGGTAGATTATGTAAAAAGTAAGTAGTTTTAAATGGTAAATAATAGTATACGAATAGTTTATGCATGAATATGTAGTTTGATGTAGTATTAACATTTGAGAAATTTGAAGTTTGAGTAAAATGTTATCCAACTCTCAACACTTTTTATAATAGTTAGCTACTAGAAGCTAGAATATAAAAGAGCTGATATTGATGGTAGTATTGTTATTGCTACTGTTGTAAGAGAAGTTGGAAGGTTATGTATCGCTTATTTATTTAATTAATATCTGTACATAATAATAAATTATTTTTAACAAATACTATTCTGAACAAAGTGCCACAATTGAAATGCCATAATTTGTAATTTATTATTATTATAATTTATACAAAAATTTCTTAAATTTTTGTTCTACACCAAGATCAAGTTTTTATGAACTTTGTGATAAATTTTCGAGGATATTCGGCCACAATTTTATCTACATAAAACCAAATAAACACTTAAAAACCTAAAATGCTTATAAATAGCCAAAAACCACTAGAATATTTTGAACATTTTACCATATATAGAAAAGGCTAATATAAGTATTCTGGTGAAATTTCAGGTCTCTACGATTATTTATAAATAAATTATTACAAAATTGAAACTTTTATTGGTGTAAATTTGTCAGTTTTTCCTATATTTTTTTTCTATTTATTAAGTATGTTTAAATGACTTCCCCAAGGCACTAACTAAATCTAAAATGCTATAAAATAATTTTTTTGATTGAAACAAAATTCCTAGTATAAAAGTTGTTTATAAACAGAAAAAAAAACACAAATTATTTATTTGTATTTTATACAATCAATACATTTCTTGTATTCTTTCATTCTGAGTAAAGAAACTAAAATAACTATAAAAAGGTTTGAAAAAAAGTTGCACAAAAGAACTTAGAATTTCAAAAAAAAAAAATCTTCACACAAATACACAATGCAGTTCTACTTATCATAACATTTTGTTACGTTTTTGTAAGTATCCTAAAAGAAATAGAGATAACTTAAAGAAAATCATAAAAGACCATTCATTATATAAACAATCTGTAAACAGAAATGGTTAAAAAAAATCATTATAAAGTGTATTGAAAGAAAAATCAAACTAAATAAGTAAAAGAGAACTAAAATATAGATTCAAACTAATTACTTAGAAGGTAATAAGCTCAAAAAAAAGAGCTGATAATGGGGATGAGTGCTGCAACTGTTGTAGGTGGGTAGTGGGATACATAAGGTTTATTTTTTCAATATCTATCTATAAGCAACGATAAACTATTGCTGGCGAAAGACGATTCAGAGAGCAGTTCGGTAATACATAATTTAAAGTGCTGTCATTTTTTTTTAACCTAACCTTCTTACGCTTTTTCCCGATTATCATGAAAATTAATTCGAAAATCAAAAAAACAAACTGCATCATTAAAAACGAAATTAATAATTAAACAAAAGAGGTCTCTTGTTGTTTTTCAATTAGTGCCATATTTGTGCTAGAAAACGTGGTAGGTACTTATTTAAAATAACGAAATCATGAAAAAAAAAAATTTTTTTTTTCCAGGTTAATCGTTTTTAATTTAAAGTTACAATAAAAGTTGTCAGATGATTTTGAAAATTTTACCACTTCTAGGTAAATCTAACATAATTATTATTACTAAGCTTCAAGTCTTTACGTATATTTTTAACAGAATTACTGCAAAAAAACTTTCAACATTTAAAATTCCTTAAAAGCTTAAAAGTGGCTAAAAAGTTTTGGCGATTATACCGTAAGAAAGTAAATCAAAAAGGCAACAAAATAGGTGTCTTGTGATTTTTTGAATAAATAATTTTTCTAGTAAAAAACGTCGACCGTGTTTTTATAAAAAAATGAAATCATCAAATTGTAAGTTTTCCTATGTTTTTTCACACTTAAGTGCTTTTATATAAAAATTATGTCAAAAATCCAGAAATGACCCCTCTAAAGTACTATCTAGACAACTTAAGCTTTCGGAAAAATTGTTACACATAAAAATTGGAGCAAGTTTACTAACAAAAAACGTTTCTACAGACTAGAACAAAGAAAAAGAAAAGAAATAAACATCTTAGTAAAACCAATAGCTCCCTAGCTACGCTCAGAATCTTAAAAGCAAAAATTTTATTTACATGGCATTTCTAACACTATAGTAATATGTTTATTATGATTTGTGGTTAAGGAAAAATGGCTCAGTGGTTATCTTTCGACAAATTTGAATCGACAATTATGGAAGTATTGGAATCACTCAACGATTTGGTAGACGAAAGCGATCCTGATGTAGACATTCCCAATATTATTCATGCATATCAAACAGCAGAACGTATTCGTGCCATACATCCTAATCATGATTGGTTTCATTTGGTTGGACTAATACACGATTTGGGAAAAGTAAGTACCTAGCCTACTACAAGTTCTGAGAACAGTGTAATATACAAGCCAAAACAAGGGTCAATGAACTAGTTTTCAACAAAAATAATATTTACATATGATATGACTATTTAAAATTTTTCCCTCTCATTTATTTTTATATAAACATAAATGCTAAGAAAGTTATAAAAAGTTGATGAAATGTGTTGGACTAGATATGGTTGTTAATTAAGTGATGCTTCCACTGCTGTCATCACAGATGAATTAAAAGAAACATAAGGAGTATCAAATAATTTCTGTTTTTGTACTTAGGTGATGATTTTTAAAGGAGAGCCTCAATGGAGTGTGGTTGGTGATACATTTCCAGTTGGATGTGCATGGGGAAATTCTATAGTCTATAGAGACACAACATTCAATGGAAACCCGGACACATATGACCCGAGATTCAAGTAAAATAATTGGTTTTATTTTGAATTATTCAAATAATATAATTTATTATTTGTAGTATATATATATATTTTTTAGCACAAAAATAGGTATTTATGCAAAAAACTGCGGACTAAATAATGTTTTAATGTCCTGGGGACATGATGAATATTTGTACAGAGTTTTATTGCATAACAAAACTACAATACCAAGAAAAGGACTCCACATGATTAGGTAATTAAGTGAATATTTATTATGTTTTATTTTAGATTCTAAGCGAAGTGAGGAATATATTGGTTTTACTATAATGTTTATTTCTTTTTCTTTTTTTATACTGTGTACAAAAGTCTACCAAAAATCTTGCTTCGAAGTATAAAGTATTGCACTTTATCGGAAAGAAAATTGTCTAGAGGTAATTCTTTGGAAAGGTCATTGTTTGATTTTACCAGAAGTTTTTTCAATAAATGGGTTAAACCAGGAAAATTGATGAAAATTATTTTTTTATTTAGTTATCTTTTATTGTATTGTAATTCAGTCAAAAATATTCATAAAAACTTGAAATTTTGACAGAAACTTTATATTTTTCTTTCATAAACATGGTAAAATGTTCAAAATATTTGAGCCATTTAAGCTATTAAACAATTTAATTTTGAAAGTATTTTTGTAATATTTATTTAGTAAGTACTTTGTGGATAAAATTATTAGACCAACAGAAATGCTTAACAATTTAACAGGAGGTTTATTATAAGTTGTACTAAATTGCCAAGAGGAAAAAGTTGAGTTTATTAATCTAATATTTTTTTTTTTATAAGAATTACAATATTCAATTTTTGAAAAAATTTTTAATACGTCTGTAAAACACGTATATAACCGAACTCCGCTCAGAATCTTTATTTTTAGCAAAGCTTAATCGATGCATACAGATTTAAATTCCCCTTTATTTACCTTCCCAACTTCTCACCTACAATAATCACTAAAGCCATCGTGCAAAATAAATCTTTTTATCATATATTATTATAATTATATTGTACAAAATAATTAATAAGTAAATGATTGTAGATTTCATTCATTTTATCCTTGGCATTCGGGTGGAGATTACGATTTCTTGTGTACTAAAGAAGATTTGGAAATGAAAAAATGGGTCTTAGAATTTAAGTAAGTAGACATTTTTGAATAAACATTAAAATACCACAGTAAATTTAATAAAATCCTAATAGTTCAAGTTGAATTCAACTGTTTTCAAATGATTAATTATTATTTTTTGGCGATTTTATTAACACAATAGGTAGTTTAAATATTAATTTTTAATTTATATTAAAATGTTAATAAATCATAGTTCTTTAAATATAAAATCATAATTATTTTACAGATATAGGCAATATTAGTAATAGGTATTCTGTATATTTAATCACATTTGATTGCAGATATTCATTTAAATTTTAATAAAAAGTATAGGGAATTTATTTCATCTTTAGAGTTGTTTTATAACTATTGGTCTATAATTAGACATTTGCAAACCTTTGCAAACATTTTAAACTAGAATATTTAGGAAATTATATTTAATAATGGTGACAAATATTAATCTTCTAATATTTTATTTTTATAGTAAATTTGATTTATACACCAAAGGAGGTACTATACCAGATATTGAAGAACTGAAACCATACTACCAATCACTGATTGATAAATACATTCCAGGATTAGTTAAATGGTGAAGGTATTTAAATTACTTATATGTGTTTAGAAAACAATTAACATTCTAATAATTTTATTTTGTTCTATTTACATAATTCAAGTTAATAAATGTATTATAATAAAAAAAAAAAATAAATGTAACATTATTTTGATATTTTAATAAATAAATAGTATATTTTAAAAGTGTCTGTTTATGAATGGATTACCTGGCATGGGCATATTAACAGGTACATTTGGATAGGGCATTGGAGCTGATTGGTAATAAGGTACAGGAGGATATCCAATTTGTGGATATCCAGAAAATGAATGTTGGATATTATCGCTTATTGGCCTGTAGGAACTATTGCGTCTGCTCAGCAATTCGGTCATTTTATCCGCTTTAGCTTTACGCATATGCATATCCTTACGCTTTTTAAGGAACTCTTCCAAAAACCCATCTAAGTCAGTTGCACCACTTAAAAACTGTTCAGCTAATTTCTAAAATAATAAAAATTAATTTAAACAATTATTTTATAATTTTATAAGATTTAGAGCTCACATCTGAATCTTCTTCAGTTTCACAGGCAGAAGTTTGTAACACAGCTAATATAGTTTCTGGATTCATACTACCCATCTGTTGTTCTGAAAAATAAATTGATTATATTATATATTATTTTTAAAAGGGCAATATACTTTTATAATCTAAATAAATAAAGCACATAATTTATAAGCAATACATTTATTACAATCTATTCAAATATTAAGTTAAAATTTCTTTATTTTAAATAAATTATTTAATTTTATAAAAATTAAAAAAAAAAAAAAAAAATGGGTAAACAATTATTGAGTAATAGAATACTAATACAATTCTAATGATATTCAAGTACCTATTTCAATAAAATGTGACACTTGTTAAAATTATTACAAGTATGATTCATTTTTATAAATGCAATTTATTGGTAATGTTATTTTATTAGTTATAAGTTGTTACTATCTGACAAAAATATTTCCTAAAAACCTATTAACCTTCAAACAGGTGCACGAGCGTTATTTACACCGCCCATAAGATAAAATTACCAATAGTCGTTAATAAATCAGTGCAGCTTATTGGTACACAAATAAATTCTAATTTATTTTAATATTTTAGCTTATTTATATTTTATATTGTAAATGATTCATGAACAAATTATTAAATAATATTATATTGTCTAAAACACGGGTACCTAAAGTATATAATCAGCCTGTTTGTTGTGTTTAAAATGTCTTAAATATATACAAAATCTTAAATATGTATGCAATTATTAAAACATGCTCTAAAAATGTGTAAAGACTCGTTTGATCATGAAACACATCTTAGTATAAATAAGATATTTTTTTAACCAACCAATAATAAATGCAAATGCATACAAATATTGGCCCTGGTTAATACCTTTATTGGCTATATTATTTGTATAAATTATTATATTTGAATAAAATAAAACTCAGAGATTAAATTGCTATTATCATTTATAATGTACTCATATTTAGACAAATTTATTCACGGGACAAAGTATGCTCAATAGATGAGAATACATGATCTATGGATCTACTGTTAAAAAAAAAAACAACTTGTATATTATAATAAGTTAGGTTTAAAACTAACCCGATAGGTATATCCTAATAATTTATCTTGCATTTATGTATAACAATCTATTTTAGTAAAGATTTAAGTTATATAATTGAAAAATAATTGAAATCACACATATTATGGCATTTGAATGGGTGTTGTTTATAGTTAATACATGTGGACTACTATAATTTAATATACTTACTTATAGTATTTACTTTTTGTGTAACACTCTTGTATAGTTTTTCTGCATCCTCGTACATTTCACATAATCTTTCTTTACCACTAATTAATTCTGGTTCTTTAGTAAGATTAAAATCAGCCAAAGATCGATTACTCGCAATCAACATTTCCTTTTCAGTCTCTATTTCTTTGTTCTAAAACAAAAAAAAATGTGAACATTTTTAACAGGAAGGCAATGAAAATAAGTAGTGTTAGTAATCTTAAGTACTTACCGGTTTTAATTCACTTGCATATTGTTCAAATTTACTATCGTCATTAAGTATTTCTTTGAGTTCAGAAGCATTCAAATGAGACATTAGTCCCATTACTGTATTTACGGCTACGGAACTATTAAACATTTTTTTTACTAAAACATTCAAAGAATCAAAAAGCTATATCAACTATTTGTGAATAATTTTACGAAATAATTCGACTTTCAGATGTAACAAAAAGATTGTTAGAATGAAAGGAAATCTCAGTTCATTCAAAATGTTCAGTCGATGGACTGATAACGAACAAAGTAAAAAAAATAACATCTGTCTAATTGGGAATATGTGTGGTGGGCTGACACATATGTATTGAAAAACTAGATAGCGACAGTGTAATGTCTGCAAAATAGATAAGTTAATCCAGGCGGGATCACGTTGAAATGCCGAAAAATAAATTAGAAGAAAATAATTACGATAATATTCAATCCAAAATATTTTTTTACCTATTATAATAAGCTATTTGTGTCTATGCTAGTGATTTTTATCATATCACCATTCTATAATCTATAGTATTTTACCACGTTCAATATTTAATTAAAATATGTACCTTCTTTCCTGATACTTATTTATATTTAGGGAGCCTATAGAATAAAAAAATAGCCGACATTGGAGATGTGTATCAGAGCATATTCTAAGTTCTAAGGCGCTGTAGAACGCTAATTGCGATGTTGATAAAAATTTTGCGCAGTCGATAATTATTTTTCATGCCGTTGAAAATTTTTGTATTAAGTAAGTATTGTAGAGTGTGAAAACAATAGTAGATAATAAAAATTGGATAGACCATTCCTTTACCATAAAGCGCATACTCTATGCCCTATACTACAAGGTTTATAGATAATCCTGTAATTTAGATAAACCTTAGTATACTAAGGGCACGTCTATAGTGCCTTTGCTATACTAGACGTCTAGACCTATTTTTTTCGTTCACCAATTCGGCTTTGGGCGATTTGTTTACACAATTTTATATGATACGACAACGTGATAATAACCATGATAAATTGATAAGGTCGATAACAAGAATAAATTGACGAAATGCATTTAGTCGTGGACTAGTGCGTTCTCCTTTATTCATTTACTATAAAATATGTGCAAAAATATATGTAATTGTGGATACGACTGAGATACAACAGTTTACAAATAGCTTAAGTTGTCAAGCCAATTAAGGATAGATGATAGTCACGTTTTGGAATGTTTTATCTTTATTATCTATGGACTGTAATGATAGCCAACAGGCAATTAACTAATAAAAATAAAATTTATGAATATTCCACATCTATGACATGGGGCCTGTAAACAGTGTAAACGCATGTCGCACGAATTTAAATTCAAGTCTTTCAATAACTTTTCTTATCGCTATTTGGGTCATTGTTTATCAACGGGTACATAAAAATATGTTCGGCTTTCCCGTTGTTTGTATTTATTCATAGCAGTCAATCTCCGTCGTAAACACGAAACGTGTGATCGGTCCGTGATGGGTTAATGGGAGTCGGACTTCTATTCCCGGTCGATTATAATTATTCGAGGCACCTTGAACAGGATCGAAAACGTGGATTTTTTTTTGATTTTATCGCTATGAATTTATGATGTTCCGCTCTCCTGTTCCATGCGGTGTCCACGGCGACTCGGCATCGTAATTATTTTCGTATTGGCCGTAGTCATAAGCGTCGCACGACAACGACGACGACCCACTAGTTTGGACGTTAATTGCAGCCGCGTGCGGGACCGTCGTGACGCCGTCCTCATCGGGCGGGTTAACGTTGTCGGGGGTTTTGTCGGTATCCCTCGGAGCCAGCGACGTTTTCGGTCTTTGTTCTCTGGTCCGGTCGGGGATCGTCCGAGGAGGACCGCCGCCGTTATTATTAGACTTGCCGGTAATCGTCGTGGCCGCGCTGTCGTCCGACCGTCCGCCAAAAGCCGCGAACTTCGGTAAACTGTCAAATTTCCTCGGGACCGGACCGGCGACATTCGCTCTCACCGTCCTCGGAAACGCGTCAATCGCTTCAATCGGCGGCGGCCCGTTCTCGTTTCTGTTTACCCACGGAATTGCCGGCGAGGCGTACGGACGGAAAAACTCGTTTAAAATATCGAAATCGTCATCGTTCCGTAGGTCCAGGCCGGTCGCTAGAATTTCCCTCGGCACCCCTAGAAACAAATCGAATTTGTTTCTGAACACCCGTTCCAAGCTTCCGCTGTTGGGCCGTTCGAACTTGACGTGCTTGTACATTAGATCGGCCGCTTCGATTATGTCCGCGTCGATCAGCCCGACGAGCGTATCGAAAACGGTTTCTTCGTTGTGCGCGAAGTATCCGGGTACCGCGTTAATTCCCCGCGTTGAACACAATATCACGCACAAAACTAGACCTACTGCGTTCATGGCGGCCCTCGCGCACTAGCTGGTTTTAACACTAGATGCACAATACGATAAAAAGTCTAAATAGTCTTCTGTAACATTATAAACGTGTTATACGGACATAAAAACAAAATATTAGGCTGTTATTTATTTTTCGGCTTTTTTCCCCCGGAAAACACTTTATCGGTTACTTGGTGAAAATACCATGCATTTTTTCACGCAATACATCACAACATGTTAAATTTCCGGCCGGTAGTACATGACTTCTTCTTTTTTTTTTTTCTCTTTAGATTCAAAGTGTAGTGAGGGATCGCTGCGATAGTGTTTTTTTATTTTTTATACCTGGTGTAAACAACTTTTCTACCAGATATCTTGCTCCAAAGTATAGAGGACAGTACTTTTTCTGAAAGGAAATTTTCTCTAGTCGGTGCATTGGGGAGGCCATTTTACGATTTTCCAAGGGGTTTTCGAAATAATCGAGAAAAACCCGAAAGAAAAATACAGGTAAAATGGTAAATATGTAAGGCGCTCGAGCGCCGCGGAGTTACTGTGTTTTCATTGTTATTATTATGTCCTTTTTTTTGTTGCATTTTTAATCTAGATCATGAGGAAGTTATTAGTTTTTTGATTTTCTCTGTAGTTTTATTAATACAAAATTAGAAAAAAACGTAAAATTTAAACTGATAAATTTACTATTTCATTATTTTTAATTTCCACAGCTTATGTTATCTACTATAAATATTACAACAATTAAAGAACATCAAAAGATCGCTTTTGTTGAGTGTTATAGAACTAATATTTTAGTTTATATTTTTAATTCATAGTATCTATGTGGAGCGAAAAAGATTAGTTTTAGAAATATGTTTTTTTTTTTATCTATGCGCAACTCTACCAGAAAACTTGCTTGGATTTTTACGTGTAGCACATTTCCTGAAAGAAAATTTCACTAACTTTAAACAGGTCATTTTTCAATTTTCTCATCAAATGCGAAAAACCATTTTTTCGTAAGCAATGTTTGATCGTTGCTTACAACTATACATTCAATTATCTATAACAGTAGATGCACCAATCTTCAATATCGTGTACTTCGTTAATCAATATTAACTTTAAAACATAACTTGAAAGGATATCCATGAACACATTTTAACGTGTTATGCTTGGCAATTAGCTTCCAAGACTGAAATTGAAGACCTGGGAGCAACAACAAGACATGTCCATTTTTTTTAAATTGTTCAAAAAAACATTCTAAAATGATAAAAATTTTTTTAAGAATTTGTTTAAACAGATTTTATAATATGCACCCATAAAAGATAATGAGTTGAAGAAGCAATAAAATAACGCTTGGACATTTCTTGTTGTTGCACTGTAATGTGCAGTATTTGGAGCAAAACCTGACCAGTTTGGATATATCTTATTATCACATAAAAAAAAAACAAAACAAATTCAGTTTAGTGCTATAATTCTATAAATAATGATCGGATGTGCCTGATTAATGCGTTATTTTGCTCATAGAAATAAGTGTGCCAATAATGTAACATTTAAGAATATAAATATGATACAAAACAATTTTTTCATGCAAACATTTTAATGTAACATTACATTTGATAAATTCTATATATTCTAGATTACAGTATATTTAATAAAACTTAATTTTATAAGAGTCAAAATTAAATTGTTTAAAATAGTTCTAGAAGTTAATGAATAATCTCAAATACATACAAATATAAAAAAAAAATATATACAGATGATATATAATATATACAATAGGAAAACAAATATTTAGCAAAATTTAAACTATACATAGTTGTACAAATAAGCTAAGCTTGTGGCATATCAATTCTTAGTTTCTTATTTATAATCTCGGATTTGATTTGTTTTCTAAATCTAGGCATGTCTTTTTGAGAAAAATCAAACTTTTCATCTCTTGCTAAATATTCAGCAAATACACAAACAAAAACCCCACAATCCCATAAGTTACTTTGCTGTGGACAATGTCTTCCCATATTTGTTAATGTCCAACCACTCGGGAGAAATTCTACTAGTTTTTTATCGAAATGTTCAAACATCAAATATTGCAATATTTGTTTTAAACATACAAAATTACGGTTTCCAAGGCTGTCATAATATGTTATGGATTTTTTTTCAAAATCCACACATACCAAAGACCAATGGTTCTCTTCATCTATATGCATAGGAATAAGTAATTTTTTTTTTGAAAATATATCAACATTTTTGGTCCAACGACAGACATTTTCATACCCATTAACAGACATGGATAAATAAAAGAAAGTATTAAACGCGTGTATTGTTTCTGGAGATCGTTTGATAATTAAATCCATATACATATTAATTATTTCGTCATTTAACCAAAGGTGAACTTTTTCATCCATATATACATATTTCACGGCAGGCTTAGCCTTCTTAGTGGCCTTGGCCTAAAATCAAAAAATATTATAATTAGTAAAAATATAAACTGTAATAATATGCAGATATTTATACAAATATATTTAAGGACCTACTTAACAATAAACTTAACTTAAATTAAAAGTAAAATACCTATTTGGGAAGAAATATAGAATTATTTAATTTATATCTGTACTCAAGGATAAATCATTGCTAACGAAAAAACAATTCTGAGTGAAGTTTGGTGAATCATTTTTCGAAATGCTATAATTTTTAAGATCTTCGGAAAAATTTGAATGCTTAAAAATAAAAGTCACTACTATACACTTAACTTTTTTTTTATTTATGATTAACGTAGAGTTCATTTTTTAAACATTTATGTTTCCACAAAGCAATTTTATCTATACAAAACCAAATCAAAATCAAAATAACTTAAAATTTAAAATGATTATACCTTGATAGTTTAATGATTTCCCAAATCGCCATATCTAGAAAGTGTTAACATAAGTATTCTGTAAACATTTCAGCTTTCTACAATTATTTTGGACCAAATAACTACAAGAAAAAAAAAATCTAACAATAACGAAACAATTGCCTTTTTTCCTTATTTTAGTAAAAACTACAATGAAAGTCAGAAAATATTTAACAATTAAAAATCTGAACAAGATTTTTGATAGAAAAGTTCTTTATAGATTAAAAAAAAGAAACACATTATAATCATTATAAAACCAAAATAAAAATTCTTTCATTCTGAATCTATTACAAAAACATAGAATCCTATAAATGATAAAACCATAAGAATAAACTAATATATTATTGAATGCTTTACAATAAAACAAAAAATCATCCACATTCACACATTCTGTTTTACAGGAGTAAATTTCAAACCCCCCTCCCAGTTACAAAAATCATAATCCTCAACTACATACACTTATTATTTAAATTTGAAATGATCATTTATAAGAATATCTAATTAAAGTATCATTTTAAGCAATATAATTTTTTAAATTAAATTAACTGGTATTTACCAGTTATAATATTTCTTTAATTTTTATAAAATAATGTGATAAAACATTAAATTATTCTGAAAAACACATTATAGGTACATAAAAAATTGAAAGTCATTTATTATTACAATGGCCAAAAGCATTTGAAAATATGTTGTAATAAGTTATAATCCATTAAACTATGCCCTAAATAATTGAATAAATATCCAGTACATTTAGAAACATCATATAATATAAAATTATAAAATCAATTTTTATCGGATGCATTATAATTATTGACTAGGCATTAAAGCTAACTTATTCCTATATTATTATATTAATTTTAAATGTTAAACATTAAATTAGACTATATGCTTAAGTATCTACAGTTATAAGTGTGTACAATTTAAATAGTTTTTATTATTTTTATTTTACTTTTAAATCTTATCATTATGTCTGTAAGTGTTCATAGTTAAAAAATACTATCCTGTAACAACATGATGAAATTAAACCCAACTTTTATCACTTAAATCTGCCTATAAAACAATTTCATTTTCAAAGTTTCGGCGCATTTAATTCAAACTCTGTATCCTTTGAACTTTAGATTCCAAAGGACAAATATATAAAATAAATAACAGACAAAACGTAGTGTAAAAGAGGTAAGTCTCTAATTTCTAGCAATAATATAAAGCAAAATGACAAATTGTTCAAATAATACCTGGTTATAACTAATACAAATTAAAATTAATTGTTACTTACTTTATACATATCACTGCAAGATGACAATATTTGAATCGCTCTTTTTGACATAGTTTATTTTTGTAGGTATAATTTCAATCTCATAAAATTATACAAACAACTAACCAAAAGCGAAATTACAAAATTGTAAAAACCCAAAACAAATCAATTTAAACCGTAGACATAAAACAACACTATATTATATTGATTTGATATATTTAATAATTTTATGTAACGCTATAACATGTGAAACAAACACAGGACAATGTGAACAACGGTGCACTGAAGAATGAAGATGCTCTAGATTTATTATCAAATTTTGTTATCAGCATTTATATGTGTGTAGTACAAAGGCGGGGCACAACAAATAATGATTCGACATTAACGAACACGATATAAACGACAATATATTGAAAACCAAAAAATTAAAACATTATTCTTATTACTAATTACTATTAACTACTAAACATTATAGTTTTACATCTGGTGTTTTTATCTGTTAACAACTTTTCTAAAAGAAAATCGGTGTGGAGGGGTACTTTAAGGATGTTATTTTTCGATTTTCTCAACAGTTTTCAAATAAAATTTGAAAAATCGAAAATAAATTGGAAAATGTACGAAACATATTTTTTTTCCTGTGCACAACTTTTCAGACAACAATTTTTTTTAGGGTGGTACCTTAGGGAGGTCATTTTTTGATTTTCTCAGGAGTTTTTCCAGCAAATGTAAAAACCGGGATAAAACATGGGTAAAACGTAGGAAAACTGGAAAATCAATACAACGTTAAACAAATATTAAAGAAAATATATAAAGCTATTTAAATAATTTTAATATAATATAATATATATACTATTGGCAAAACATCACTATTAAGTGAACTTTGCTCAGAATCGTTTTTTCGTAAGCAATGGTTTATTGTTGCTTACAGGTATACATTAAATTATTTATAACAATGGCTGCACCCTTCTCCATTATCCTAGGATGTCCTTTTTTTTTTTTGGTGTGTATATGTATACAATAAGTACTCGAAAAAATAGTCCGATGTATTTAACCTGTATGTTTCAAAGTAACAAGTATCTGATAATATTTTCCAAAGCAGGACATTAACAAGATTAAATTGTTTTATGTTGTATATTAATATTTCTTATGATTTTCTTAATCGAATGAAGTTGAAACATACAATATTTAGTATCATAGTTATCAAAGGTAGTTTTATATGATTCGTAGATCCAATATAGTTGATACGTAATAGGATGAGTCTACATGACTACATGCTACGTTATTGAACTTAAATATTAATGTAAAAAATGCTAAATTTTTTATACACAACACCTTAAGGAGGCTGGAGCTCACCAAGTTTTCATACGTTTTAGACCAATAATCGGTGGGAAATCAGAAATACTTCTCTGTATCCGATTTCAATTTTTAACGTATGTATGCATTTGTTAACAAATATTCTAGGTCTTTTAGGAAGCGGATTTTCGATTCTCAGTTTTGAAGACCACCACAACTATGATATTATTCGGGGAAAATACCGAATTACATTTGTTTTTATTTTAGGAATATAAAATTTAAAATCTAAAATCGACTTTCTAGGAAACCTAGACAATTTGTTAACAAATTCAAATATATTTTGAAAATAAAAATTGAACATTATGATATAATTCTAATTTCCCGCCGCTGAGGAATAGGTTAGGTTGGTCTAAAATGTGTGAAGATGAAGATTTATATTTTGACGGTCTCCGTTGTTTGGCCATTGTGACAAGTGCATGCGCGTGCGAGTGGTCGTCAGCGGCTATCAGGTGTGCAAGTACCCGGTAATTTAGGGATAATCATAAAAATTATAATATTATTATTAACGTTTCGTCCTATTTGTTTATAGATTATTCCCTTCTTGTATTTTATAATATATTTACAAAATAATAAGGATTTAGGTGAACATTTTATACCAAAGATATGAATCCGTTTTTCTTCCATTTTTTCCCTCAATTTTTCAAATTTCAAATTTGATGAGAAAACTCTTGAGATAATCGAAAAATTACCTCCCTTAATGTACCTCCCCATACAGTTTTTATTCAGAAAAATTGAAAATGTTTACATTGTATAAAAAATGAGCAAGTTTTTCGGTAGAAAAGTTCTGCACAGATATGAGAAAACAAAAAATTAAATAAAAATCTTTGTAAAACCATAAGCTTCTTCGCTCCACTCGGAATCTTAAATATCAAAGAATGTATTTTATGAAAGATTATTATATTTTGATAATATTGTATTGAAATTTCTAAAAATAAATTTGCGACAACGATTAACAATGCAACACGCAACAGTACCTACATGCTATGACGGTGCGGCAGGTGGCGGTACACGACATCGACCGCACTCACACTAATAATCATTTACGACTAACGCAAAGAACCCGAGCGGCAACGGCGAGATTAGAAATTGCCTGAACTTTGCCCCTTATTTAATAGTTGTGAGCAATCCTCTTAAATATTAAATATGTGACATCTTAAGAGGACGCCACACCGAAAATGAAACGTATACAACGCTAGATAGATTCTAAGACGTTTAGTAGGTACCTACCCGCGATATTTTTATTATAGTACGTTTGGTTACACTTAGTTATGTATATTATTATTATATTATACTAAGTATGTTTTAAAAATAAACCAATACATATCTATGTACGTAAGATAAAACGTCCAATTACCTAAATGGATACTTCTAAATACTCTAATATCCACAATTTCTTAAAATTATGGATAATTTGCATACCCTCAATGCAAACCTAACAGTGAAATATTTTACCTTTATTGCATTTATATCTTTTTAATACCCCTTACCTCATATATACCTACTAATTATTATAAAATTGTGTATCATATCTATTTTTGCACTATGATTCTTATTAAAACCAAAGAAAGTTTGTACATGTTTTTAAATACTATATAAATCAGAAGTCATGATTTTTAACAAAGTTTAATATAATAACTATGTTAACTAATTAGTATTGCAAAAACAATGAATCCACTCGGTTAATTTTATTGAAACAAATAAATAGAATATAACATATAATACCTAATAATAAAAACAATTTCAATAATAATAAATAAGGAACAAATAGGATACAAAGATTAAGCAGTTTGCAGTATCTTTATTGTTTAATCGTAGTTATGACGGGAGAGACTGACTAATATCGTTCAAAATGTAGCATTGGTTACCGAACATGGTCAGTCAATCACGAGCTTATCACTCATCGTGAACATTTTGATAATTTTAATTTAATTTATATAAATTATAATTTTAAATTTTAAATTAAAGATCTTATGTAATCTTTATTATTTATCTATCTTATTATGGTGTATCTTCATGATTTTAACGTAGACACCAATTACGTATATTATTTACTTATGTAAAGAATCATGACATAGATAAGTATTGGCAACACTGGTCATTCCGTGGAAGCGTATAGCGGAATCGCCGGAATCCCACCCAAATCAACCTCCTTCCTTTTTCCTTTCATTTTCGTTTTGTGTTTGTAAACAACATTATTAATCACTGTTCGTTTTTGCGCTAATAATTTTCGTGTTTGTGTGATTTTTGAATGAATTGTTTCTTGTGATATTGTCTAAATGTGTGATCAATTGGTATCATTTTTCGGCATTCAACATCATCACCTCTACGTGAAAGCCATTATTTTCAGATGTGCCGATTAGACTCCGATTCAAGGCGAGTTACCTAAAAAATGAATGTGTAATTTTTTTCCACATTTACTTGTTCTATATCTCTATTATTTTACACTTGTGTATATATATATATATATCTAGTATAGTATATTACATTCATACTTTAAATAACAACAAAAAAACCAGGTTGTTTATGTTCATATTCTAGAGTGTAAATCAATTGTTTTATACCATATACAAATTGTATAGATTTTATGGTAAATATTATTAATAATAATTATTATTTATACATTTATAATTTCTATACTAATGATAATTAATAATGATATTTATGTAATTTATAAGTGTTAAAGATGTGAACATTTTTAGAAGTCTAGATGTAAAAATAGGATAATTCAATAAAAACCAATATCCTAATCAATTATTATTTGCTTCTTCTGTGATCTTCATTTCTTCTATTCGTAGTTTTATGTTGGAATTTTAATTTTAAAAAAAATAAACCACTAGTAAGCTATGAAACATACCCTACATGATAAAGTGCAGGGAAACAAAATGCAATTTTATAATGCTCACTTTACAAAGCAATAAATATATCTCAGAAACAATTATTTTATGGATTATAACATTTCGCAATTTTACATTCCAATTAAACATTTTCCTATAAATACAATTTGATTCAAAGTGATTACTCGATTCACACACAGATATTTTTGGTGTTTGCTCCCTAAAATTTGAATATGAAGTTAGTTTTGAAACGCAATTTACCTGGGCTTATCTATTATATAGATTAGGAAATAATATGAAAATAGCACCTTGGAGTTTTAAAATTGAGAAATAATTGAAAACATAAAAATGGTATTTATTTAAAAAAAAAATTTTATTTATTTAATACAAAGTTAGAATATGTTATTTTGATAGTGAAGCTATAATCCTTATTTTTAAAGTTGAACTGAACTATCCAAATATTTTAATGAATTTGAACTAAGTTAATAATCAAAAGGTTCAATTTTAAAGTAAATGTAAATATTTTACTTTTAATGTTGCAGTTTTCTGAAACTATATTCTGTGATTTGATATTTAGTAATAATATTAAAAATAAACAAAAATTCATAAGAATTAATAAATCATTCTTCTATCGCTAATACTATATTAAATTTAATTTGTGATTTTTCTAGTTCAATTTTTTTCTATTAGACTAACTATTTTTAATATCATTAGTTTTAATATTATATAAAATATTTTTGGTAGTTAAAAATAAAGTTCATTCTTAATTATTAAGTTATTCTTATTTTATTTTCAGATTTGATTTATTTATTTGTTGGCGTTATTACAACAATAATTAATAACTTGACAAGTTATTATAACACACAGCTTTGTACAAATGAATAGAAAGTATACAAATTTTTTCTTTTGTCAATAACTGGTGTACTAATTGAGATGGGTGATAGATTATTTATGGCAATGAGCCGTCGCCGTATATCATGCCCATTGGCTGTACAACAGCTGTGGGATGCGGTGAAAGTGATACGTTTTCAAAGGCAGGTACCAGATGTTGATCGCATTACAAAATATATGACCAAAGTTCACAATATGTCATCAGGTAAGCCGATAGGGTTCCATTTCAAAATATGTATTCAAAACTTATTGTTTTGATTAATAGAGGAAGTTGGTAGGCAACTAAATTATTGTGTCCGGGATGGTCTTTTGATTTTAACAAAAAGAGTCGGTAATAAAGGTTCTAAAGTAGGAGTTGAAACTGAAGGATATAAACTTCCAGAAGAAAAGGTTTGTTTATTTTAAAATATTAATATATATAATGCATATATTTTTACCAATTTATAATAATACTTTATAGGCTGACAAAGATAGTCATGATTGGTATTGTTTTCAATGTCACAGTGCTGGAGATGTTATAAGTTGTACTTCTTGTTATCGAGTTTACCATCTTTCATGTATTGAAAAAGAAGATTTGCCAGAGAATGATGTCAAACATAAGTTCATTTGCAATATATGTAAAGTAAGTAGTTGTTTAATATTGTTTGAAAGTATATTAATTTATTTTATAATTTTAGAATTGTGCATCTACTAAAGAAGCATCTAAGAAAATTAAAAAAAGTCAACTTAACAGACTTCTTTATCATACAACTGGTAGATTAAAAGAAAAAGTAATTTTTATTTAATTTATTATAATTTTCAGGCTTATGTCTAATATTTACAAAATATACAATATGAAATAATACAAAATATGTATTAATGAGTATTGAAACTATAAATCTAATAGTTTGTATGATGAAGCTACACATTTTGTGTTTATTGTTATTCATAATTGCTTGATTAGATACCTTTGCCATGGGCAGAACGTAAAATTGCTACTGCGGCTCCATCAACATATGTATCAGACAGATTGCAATTTCAGAGTCAACTGAAAGGAAGTGATTTGCATATGAACATGAAATCAGCTTTAAAGGAAAAAGATCCTTGGAGAATTGAACTTCTAATTTTTAAGTATGATTCTTTATTTTATTAAATTAAAACATTTATATAAAACATTTTTTTTATTTATAGAGTTATAGACCTTCAAATGATTGAAGATAAATCTGATAATGATGAGTATAAAAATATTGAAGAGTTTAGAGCTGATATATTAACTTTTGTTCATAATATTATTATTTTTCATGGAGGTAAATTTTTAAAGTTTAATATTTTTTTTCTCATCATAAAATCAAAAAATTATTATTATTTATATTTTAGTTCATAGCAGTTTAGCTGACTATGGCCGTTTAATGTTGAGAGATTGTAATAAAGATTTAGAAGAGATAATGAGGTGTCGTTATTGTTACAAGTATTCCATACAAAAAAATTCCAAATTTTGGTTTTGTAAGCCATGTAAACCACCCCATGAACTAGTGTATGCAAAACAAGAAGATTTTCCTTACTGGCCAGCAAAGGTAAATGTATAGAATTACTAGTTAGTCATGATAGGTTTTTATGGATATAAATAAATATCTTTGTCTCAAAAATTTGATGCCAATTATGTATTTTGTAAGCCGGGATCACACGGCACGTCGTGTGGACTATAGAGTGGTACAGCACGGTAGAGTTGATGTATGATAAGATTTGTATGTGCAACGTGTTGCGCGTTCCTTCCCGACAATTGTCGGTCTCTCTATGTAACACGCCAAAGGAAAATTGGTGTGGCGAGTTTTATCAATCTAACAATGTGTTGCCTTGTTATCATATTTCATACTTTGAACCATTTTTTTTAATAAATATTATATTATATTATTTGGAATTATTTTTCAATACAACATATTCTGTTCTGATCACAGGCATGGATCCAGAAAAAAGATCTAGGGGGAAAGACGACTAATTTTGCAATGTAAATACAATTCAAATATAATGTAATACATTATGTATATTATTTTTTCATACAATTCTTATACAAAAATTTGAGAAATAATTCAGGGGGGGGGCGTTGGATGTGTCCCTGTCTGATCAGTCTGATGTATAGTTTATTTTTACACAATTTTTGGAGTTGTACGAAGGTGTGAGTCATCTATATGGAATGCAAGTGATCCAAATCACAAATTTCGAAACCATGTTCATGAAGCTTGGGAAATCACGTTATGTCAAAACACCAACTAAGCACGAGGAATTTTGCGCGGTTTATACACATTTCACACGTCATGTGGCGCGCAATGTACCGTGTGATTAACACGTGTACTTAACATGCACAATTAAAGGAGGTTTGAAAGTTAAAGTGTATATAGTCATGAATCATGTAAACATTTCAATGTAATCTTAATAAAATAAACAATTTTTAAAGATGCTCGAATATTATATGGTTTCACCAAATTAAATCAGTTCCATTTACATGTACAAAAATTTGTTGTATTTTTGTACATGTAAATGGAACAATCACTTTTATTTTGATTATTGATAAGGTAAATCATAATACATATTCAGTATCAATATTAAAATTTGATTTTTATAAGAAATAAATTATGCATATTACTTATTGATTTTTTGTTTAAAATAAACTTAAATATGATAATGGAGTAAGGAAAAAATACCAATTTCATGGAATAATAAAAATTATAACTTACCATTTAAATATTAAAAACTCGCATATAAACAAGTCACACAATTTAGGTAGACTTATAGTAAAATTGGTTTAAATTAAGAATGGTTTATCTCTTATCATGTAAATGTAGTAATTCGTAGGTTAACTCTTGGTTTATTTTATATGTAATACATTTATAAGATGTTCATTAAAATGTCTGGGAATTACATATTTCTCTCAGTATTTATTCCATTTCAGGTTGAGGTTTACCATAAAGAAAGTTATATCTAAGTTTACTGAAGTTAGTATCTAGTCAATGTTAAGTAAAATGTAGTCCAAAAAAATATTTAAATGACCAATTAACATAAACTGAAATTTATAAATGAAAAAAAAAAATTATATATTTTATTATTTTTGTTTGTGTACCTAATTTTGTATCACAATTATATTTTAGGTTTTAAAAATTGAAGATGATAATTATGAAGTAAGGTTTTTTGGAGGCGAACATCATTTTGGAATTATCGACAAATCACAAATACGCCCGATATCAGTCAATATTCATTCCTTGCAAGTAAGTATTTCTGAGAGGATTATATGATTACTAGGGTTCCGATTTTAAAGCATAATAAAAAATTTAAAAAGGAAAAAATGGTTTTAAAAAAGCAAAAATGAAGTATATTTATTTTTAAAAAAAGCACGACCAAAAATTAACATGAATTAGTAATAATTTATAAAACTGAAAAAAAAAAAATTAATTTAAATTAAAAAAAGTATTTACTACCATATATTTGGCAAGAATTTCAGTAGTGAAACTGACTCTATTGTCTGATAGAATGTTTTTATACATTGAAAATGTTAATTTCGTTTGATGAAACACCACACAGTATATCATTAATGTCCAGTAATTGTTTCCAATTTGTTTTTTTGTTTTTCAAAAGAACACAATTTAATTTTCCCGAAATACGAGTTTCAATATTTCCATTAGCTTCATTTAACTTCTTTTCTGCATCTAAAACAATATTTATACATGTTGTCAATGTTTCACCTAAAATTATACATAGAATTTAGTATTATAATGTTAAATAGTATACTTTGTTAAATGTTACCTTTTTTTCTCTAATATTGTAATAATATCTGGTAGAATTCCAAAGTTGGTTGAAATATACACTATATTTGATTGAAGAGATAAATTCTTAAATAGTTGTTTCCCTACTTTAACACATTGAGATTCTTCTTCGAATGTTTATTATTTAGTTTATTTATTGGAATATTTGCAGCTATCAATGTTGAACGTAAATCGGCATTAAAATCTGATTGACTACTAAACTGTTTCAATAACGGTTGAAGTAATGCAGACTTTTCGTTTTCGTGTCTTTTAACAGTTTGCACATTATATTTTTTTTCAAATGACACTTTTATTTCACAAAGTTTGCGATATAAAATCGATCCATCTCTTTAAAAAAATTCTTCTATTTTTTAAAAATGCATTTGTTTTAACTTTTGGGATTTTTATAAATTACAACACTATAAAAAACTATAAAACTTAAATTTTGAACTGGTCGATATCAATGTTATACGTGTACTGAGTGTACATTCTACAGGCTATATGCAATAGCCGATAGGCGATAAGCTATCGATATGTCTGTGGTTCGATAATCTAAACGTCGATGGGTAAAATATAATATCTATATATATGTTATACATAGTCACATATATATACAATCAAGCCAAAAACAAAAACTATAATAATCCAATATAACCATTTAGTCCGTAATCCGGGTTTTCTCATTTCTTATTAATTAAATAAAATTTTTTTTTATTTCTATAACATATTAAAATTCCACAACTAGAATGACTGAAAAAAGCAAAAAAAGTATTTACACATAAAAAGCAAAAAAAATTGGTTTATTTGGAATTAGAATAACGTGAAACGAATTTATGTATAAAAATAAGATTTCTATCTTATATATATGAAAAGAAGCATTTGCTTTAAAATCCGAGCCTTGATGATGTTTTATAGTTTGTTATTTGGGCTGGGTATGTAATAACGCCATAAAACATTAAAAATTCTTTTAACTATGAATAAAATGACATTTTTAAAATCCCAAAAAAAAAAAAAAAAAATATTTTATTCTCATTAAAAATACATATTAAACACACATAATTAATGTACAACAAAATGATCATTAAATAGCAAGCTTTGGAAAACAATTCAAAGTTCATTGAAATCCCAACTCTATTAATTATAATGCAAATTAAAAAACAGTATTGATGTTTGGAAAAAAGTTTAATCTAGGGTTGAAAATTGTGTACTTGTTATATCAGTATTTGTTATTTTAGTCTCAAGGTCGTACTTCTCAATGGAACAAAGCCTGTGAAGAATTACGTCGCCATCAATTGCAATTAGATAAAGTTATATTTGGTCTTACAACTCAATCATCATCATCATCTGCTTCTGATTCATCATCTGAAGATGAAGATGAACCACCTGCAACTTTGCCTGTACAAAAGCGCAGAGAAAAAAAAGAAATACTTATAAAATCTGAAATGAAACCTGATAATGAGGAAGCAGAAATAAAAAAAGAAGAAAAGATGTGTTCTGAAGAAGAACCTGTTAAAAGAAAACGTGGTAGACCGTCATCATTAGAAAAAAAATGTAGTCCTCCTAAAAGGGCATTTAAACAAGTTTCGATTGAAAAAAAATCTACTCCTGAAGTCATAATTGAAAAAAGGGGTAGAGGCAGACCCAGGAAAGTTGTTGAACCTGTAAATATAGAAAGTATTCCTATTAAACCACAGAAAATAAAAGTTAAAACTCCAAAAGAAAATAGTAATATAGCTGAAGGTATTAAGTCAACGAAAGAAGGAATTAGGACAATGAGAGAAGGAATTAAAACAATGAAAGAAGGAATTAAGACAACGAAAAATACATCGCCATCAAAAACAAAATCTCCGACTAAAGAAAGTGAAGTAGATGAGAATATAACATCTACGACTGAAAGGTTAAAAGATTCGAATGTTGTTGAAGATGAAACTGTTAGTTCTTCGTGTCAAGATTTGGTACGTTCGGTTAAAGTACAAACAAAACCAATTAACAAGAAACCACCTAAAAGTTACATAAGCAAGGTTAGTTGTATAGATTGAATATGTATTGTGTACACAATGAATATTAAATTATATTTTAGATTCGTTCTGAAATGGAAGTAGAAAAACGCAAAGCCATAGAACAATTAATTGATCAACATAAAGAAGAGATTGCATTATTGCAAGAAAGCCATAATATTGCTTTATCTGAAGTGAAAAAAAAGCAATGGGTAAATTTTTTTTAAAGCGTATAAATAGTTAATATTAACCATCTATATATGTATTCTATTTAATGTGTATTACATATTTGTTCGGAAATTTTTTTTTGATTAATTTAATTTATAAAGTGCTAAGCGTTAACTGAGTGTCAATTTCACAAATGCATTATTGACATAATTCTTCTCTGAAAACAAGCAAAACTTGTCATTTTGAACTTATCCATGTGTCTTGATGCTCAATATGCCAAACACCTTGATTAAGCATTGCTGAATTTTTTTTACTGTTCTTATTGGATTCAATTAATAATATGGAATCTTGATAATGATTATTATTTATTGAAAACTAATTGAAACTGATCTCGAAATATGCTGTAGTTTCATTATTTTCTAATTTGCATTTGAATTCATTTATTTTATAATAGAAAAAATTTGTGCCTAGGATTACAAATTTATTCATAGAATTTATTGAGCCTATATTTACATTTATGAATACATTTGGAATTTAGTCCAAATTAGTCCAATATTTCCAAATGGCTATTGTAAAATATTTTACATTTTTACTAATAATGTGCATATATATATATAAATTGTGTAATAACTTATAATGTCAATATTCAATATTGTATTTATATTTTAGTGTGTGAATTGTGAAAGTGAAGCGATTTACCATTGTTGCTGGAATACAGCATATTGTAGTCCTAAATGTCAACTTATTCATTGGAGTAGTGAACATAAAAGACACTGTCGCCGAAAAAGATGATCTTAAGGTACTTGAGATTACTAACTAAAGAAAGAATATTTTCTTTTAGTTGAATCTCAGTCATATTGAAAATGTAAATTTTATAATATTACTTGATTTTAAAATATATTACTAGTAATATGTTAAGTAAATGTATATTAAATATATATTTCAAATAGGTATCAATAATCTTTTTTAATACACAAATGTTAATATGTAATTTTCTCATCTATTTTCCCCTATTTTGTTTTATTTCCTCTAATCTGTTTATGTGTACATAAAATAAAGTATATAAGAAAACATGTTTTTTTTAAAAAAATTTAAAACAATGCTAATACTTATATGGATAAGAGTAGGAATGATAAAACTTTTATATTCATTTTTGAAATATGTATTTAATGTACAATTCTGTATAACATACTCTTACCAAATTTTTTTTCTCAAATAGCAATAACTATTTTTGAACTCATATTTTAAAAGAGAATTTTTGTTTAAAAAAGTAAATATATATATAATAATATCAGGAATTCTTATATTATGCACATAAATGTTTTTTAGAATCTTAAAGAGGGTAGTTGCTATTTGAAAACCAAAACTTGATTAATTTATGATATACAGACAAATGGTAAAATTTTAAAATATTGTAAATAAGATAAAAATGATTCTTTAACTAAAAATCAAATCTTTCTTTTTAATTATTAATTTAAGATAAAATAATCTGCATACACGCATAAAAAATATTTATATATTTATTCATTATTTAAGTAATATCAACTAAGTATTAACTTCCTAAATAATATACATATTTTTTGTTTTTGTCGAATTTTCCTTGAACATAGAGGCTATTGAAAAAAAACAGTGGAATTATGGAATGCAAAAATTTTAGTTAAAACCCAAATTAGTGAAGTCATTAAATTTAAAATCTCTGAACGTAATAGATATGAAATTAATCATTGGTTTCTAAAATATTTTTATTTCTTATAAAATAGACAATTTTAAATTGCATTTTTCCTTTTTTAACTTAACATAGATTTTCCTAACATATACAGGGATTTTTAAAATTTCAAATTCTGACAATAACTTTCAAAATGATTGAGTGGAAATGGCCAAAAACAACCATAGGTGAAGCAATTGATAAATTAACTTTTGTGATTTTATATTTTGGACATGCATATAGTGATAAGATTTGGGTTAAATCTCAATATGAATTTCAGCATGTTATTGAGGAAGGAATTGGTTTTTAGCTGTGAAAATCTTTATAGGCGCCTCTAAAATTCAAAATTATGCTAGGAGGATGAAACTTTGTGTGTGTATTGTGTTAGTGTCAACGTTGAGACTAGTGTACAGTGGAAGTGATTTAAGTTATATTCATCCTTCTATTAGCTTAAAAATATATTAATTATGAGTATTTATATAATAATTTTTTCTTAAAGTTATTTATTTAAGTTCAAAGGAAGAAAGCTGGATTTATTGAATACATTTCTCATTTTCGGGTGGGTTAAGTATAACACAAGATTTTACAATTTATTTATGAATATATGCAAGAGGAAAAATAGAAGAGGAATACCAAAAAAGCGGTGGTGGATGCATTTGAGAATTATATGAGGATGATAGGGGTATGAGAGGAAGATATGAGGGATTGTGTCAAGTTAAAGTTTCGGATAAAGGTGATCGACCCCAAATTGTTGAAATGAAGAAGAAAGAGAAGAAGAATAAGTTTACTTCTAATAAAGTATAAAATTGTAATATTATATTATTTGAATATTTATTGTTATACAAAATAGGTGGGGAAAATTTGACTTGTAACAGAGCTTTGCTGTTTACATATGTATTTTTTATTAACTATTTACCATTAACAAGAACAATTACTTAAAATTTAATTTTTCAGAAACATAAGTATTATTAAACTTAAAATTGTATATTATAACAATGTAATATTATAATATTATCAAATATCATTATTATGTGTGTACTTGGTTAATTCATTTATAGTTTTAATTAAGGATGTCATTTATTTGTATAAAACCAATTAAGAATAAAAATAAGAAGTTACAAAACTTAAATATGTGTAGTTAGTATAATTCAATATCATATGCTTTAAAAACTTTTATGGTAATTTTATATTTCCTTATCATTTGTATTGAGATTTTAAATAGTTCTAGTTTTACTTGACTACAAAGAGGAAATTGTGTTTATTAGTCATTAGTGGTACACATTTTTAGCGGTATGAATTTGATCTGTAATAAACATGAGTGGTTAATGAAAAAAGTTTTTGAACATGATTTATAGATTTTTTATTCAATAAATACATCTTTTTAATATCCATCACATATTATATTTAAAAATTTAATGAAAGTTATTTTTAGTTTTTATTGTATTTGTTTTTTTATGTACCTATGTAGTTATATTATTGAATTATTGTTTTGTTGCCTTTTATAATTGTGTTTTAAATGTATATGTACATTATAAATTAATATTTTAATTTGTTAAGTGTAGACATTTTTTATACATATTATACATTTTGTTTTGTTTTTTTTTTTTTTTTTGTATTATTATAATTTGTAATTTCTTAATTCTTAGGTCTACGTTATTAATATGGTGCTTTAAGTTTAGGTATCTGATAATATTTTTAACATTAAAGGGTGATTGCATTTTAGTGGGTACAAATATATTTTTTTTATTGTATAAAACATATTTATTTGGTCTGATAGCTTTGGAATTTATACTTTTATCATTTAATATAATTTATATGATTAGTAAGTTTATTATTTTATGGTAAGTAATAATTATTTTATTACCTTATTACACATAAAATAGTGTTAAAAAAAATAATAATAATAATCACGTGTGTATTCAAATTAAACTATAATATTTGTACTCATATTTAATCGAAACTTCCAATTTTCTCCATTTTTTATAATATTTTAGTTTGCTTTACTACATATTATATTTCGAAATCCAAATATTTACTAGGTAGGTTTGTTTAAATTTTAACTTAATTTGAGCAATATTTTAATATATTAGACTGTATAGTATTATGTTTCAGTCCATTGTTAATTAATGGAATTTGATAATTAAATACTTAGGCTTATTCTTTAGCATAATAATTATTATACAATAGTATATAGTTTTCTACAATTTAATATTTATAAATTAGTAGATATATTCGATCTCATTAACTTTTTTCAAGCATTTGTATTAGTAATTAATCCATTTTTTTTAATAGTTTTTCTGTATTATAACTTTAAAGTTATTGATATGTAGGGTATCAAAAATGTATTGTGTAAAATCCAATCAATAATAATGTTGGGGTATATCGCTATAACAGTATTGTCTTATTATTAGTTGAACCATAAATTATTGTTGGTGATTGTATTTGTTGTATCTATTCTAGATTCTTCATTAAATATTGTAATATAAATTAAATAAGAATCATTATAATTATCTTAATCTATATATTTTGAAGTCAACTGTTTAATCAATGTATTTTAAGTAGGTTTAAGAACAATTTAATCAAATAAATAAAATACAAGCGCTTAAACATTAATTTAATAATGCTTATATATGTATATTATGTACAATATCATGTTGAGCATCATGAGACCCAAAGGTTGGTCTCACTTGTTTTTGACCATAGGGTTTTTTTTATGAATTATTTGTAATAATTTTGGAACAAAATTGTCCAAATGATTTAGAATTTTAAAAAAATTGATAATAAAAAAGGAAATAACTTATTTCTTCACTTTGAATAACAAAATGAAATCACAACACCCTAGTATATGAATCTGATGAAATAATTAAGATAAATGGGATCCATTATTGAGAATTGCTTTTTAAAGTTTTAAATCAAACATTGTGAGATCCAAATATAGTTCTCATAGTAAATTGTTTAAAAATTTTGATGAGATTCAATATTGGGTTTTATAGCAAAGTAAAGTAACTAGGTTCAAGAACCCTTGGTGCTCAACGTAATACACAATATACATTGTAGGTACTTATATACTTACACGTTATATTAATCATTATATATAGGCTTAAGTTCATACGAATATTAAAATGTATCTATGCATAAGATTTTATCGTTAATTATACATACAATTTGATAACCCATTGTTTTTATGTATTTTTTTTTTTACTCATATTAGAGTTATAAACTATATTTTAGTTGTTTATTTTGATTCACTTACTCGAAATCATTCTAATGATAAAGAAATTTAATTTAACTGTGTAGATTGTTTTGTTGATCAGATGTTATCAATTTCCTTTTTAATATTATAATAGGTATTATATTTTTCATTTGATGGTGATACTGATACAACTGAAATGTAACTTGTATTTTGTAGATGTAATGATACGTGACAGTATTGGTACCCAAATTATTATCAGTTTTTTATGGAACACTTGATACTATACATTATAATACCTACCCATATGATGTTTAGTATATTTTTGTTGAAATATTTCATATTTAATAGATTGCATAGTTAAATTTATTTAATAAATAATATTAAGTTTTATTCAATCATTGAATTGCTTAGAACATCTATAATATTTGAATCCTATAACACAAGAATAAACACAGAGAAAACAAAACTGTATGGGTTGGGACTGTTAAACTATGTTTACCAAAGGAGCATAGGCGTAATAACGTAAGGGACAGGAGGGCAACTGCCTCTATGTTGAGATTATCGGATAAAACATTTTTAAAAATTGGTTCAATAGGACAATAATTGGGTAATAATGAATTTAGTTTATTAAATGTTTAAGTGCTATAAATGCCAAAAATGACCGGCCCAAAGTACTACCCATATAAAATTTCCTTTCAGAAAACGTGCTTCACTTGAAAATCAGAGCAAGATATTTGGTAGAAAAGTTGTTCACCAAAAAAAAAATCATTGTGAAACCAATACATTCCTCGTTTTGCTTAAAATCTAAAATAGATATCTCGTCGAAATGCCTCGACAAGAAAATAAAAGATTATGGACCGCTGTCCAGTAACTTCTTAAACGAACACTCGTCTTTAGAACAATTCTAATTAAATTGTCTCTGCATATTTCTATTTCTTTTCGACCGCGAGGCCGAATATTTCCTGTTTTTCGAATATAAAATACATTTTGCTTACCTACTGTGTAATCTTAAACCTACCTAGTCCTATATACAACAAAACTAAAGTGATGTTTGCAACGTAGGTACGAAAATAAAATGAGAGGGACTGTGAGACTTAAAAAAAAAAAAATTAATGTGGTCCTTTACAACTATCGATCACAATCTAACTCGACAGTTAGTTACAAAAAAAAACGTCAATAAAAACAATTATTGAATACTAGCTGTCCTGCCCTGTGATGCCGTGCCAAAAAAAAAAAAAAAAAAAATCTGTTCCAAAAATACCAATAACTGCTTACACGTAATAATTTCTGTGATACCCCCTTACACTTATTGTTCTGTTTTGTCCCATTTTACTCTTTTGTTTATTTCATTTTTACCACCAAGTTAAGTGGTATCCTAGAAACAAAAAAAAAAAAATCTGTTCCAAAAATACCAATAATAACTCTATACAAATTTCCCGCTATATTCGCTTAGATTATTTTTCGTATACTCTTACGCATCAAGTAGACGACACGTTTTAAATATGCCACACCTGAAATTCGGAACAAGATTTTTGGTGGAAAAGTCGTCGACGGACGGGAGAAATAATAATTGTGTTTAATAACAATATGAAATCAAAGGTAGTTGAACTCGTACAACCGAGAATCTTGGAATCTAAACCGTCCCTACACATTATATAATGTTATAAGCGCGCACACGAGAAAATTCGACGGCGGTTTTTTTCGAATTGCGACCGCCGCCCCGCAGTAAATGAGGAGGTTACGGTACGGCAAGGCGACGGAGACGGTAGGTGACCAGGGCCTCTGCAGTCACCACCGGTACGTCGTCGGCCGCCCTGTGTTCGTCGTCCATCGGTGTTCGCTGTTCGCTGTTCGCCGGGCAAATTCCACCGAGGACCGCGCGTGTGCGTAATAATACTACCCATTTAACGAGGGGGGGGGAGGGGGAGAATTTGTGTTCTTTCAAAATTTGTCTTACTAGTCGACGTCGCGGCGAACGCGCGGTGTCGGTCACGTAGAATTAATTTCGCGATTAAGTGCGTACCGTTTTTGCCGAAAACGACGACTGTTTGGCGAGTAATATTTTCAAAATGACCTTCGCGTTTTGCACGTTTTGCTGCATGCGCGCCATTTTAAAGTCTCCGCGCCCGGAGCCGCCGTACCAACGTGGCGTGTTCATCACTCGCGGCTCGCGTTTTAAATGTTTATTTTTACGGCGCGGTTGTCGGAAGTGTTCAACCGCAACGAAATTAAATTCGTGCCGTCGCGATACTCGTTCGTCAAGATGTACCGGCACGTATAGCCGGTACGGTCAGCGGAGTCGTCGAAGCCGCGGCAATTGCAGGTTAGTCAAATTGTTTTGTATCTGGTCGTCGGGTTATCGGGTTTTTTTTATAAGTATACCCTCTTCTACGGGCGCATGGGCGTAGCGATGATGGGTAAAGGGGAGAGGGGCACTTGCCCCTCCCCGCCATTTTGCCTCGAACTGAATTCCGTTTCTTTACACCAGACGTGTAACAAAGGGAAAAAGTGAAAAAAAAAAAGGAATAGCCGCGGCAGAAAATTCTAAGCAGATTTTGCGATGACTCTAGACTATTGTCATTGTTACAAATTAAAAATAATAATATAAATCAATACTTTAAGAAAAAAAAATAAATATGCCTTCTCCCCTGATTGATGGCGGTTTAGTTGTGCCTATGGTTGGGTCCGAACGTTTAAAAGCAATACAAAACATTTCCCTTCTTATTTTTGCCAGTGATTTTTTTTTTTCTGTCATTTAATCCTGTATACATTTTTCTTTTTGTAATATATAATTTTGTTTCGTTTTTTTTTGCTGAACTTTTCGTTTTAATGTGAGCGCCTATCTATTCGGGTACTAAATTCCGTCAACTGCAGGTCGACATCAAGATGGATATATTATTGCGTTTTAATTTTCTAAACTTCCAAACTATTACGTTAATTAATATTAACATTACGGTAATAGACTACAGTAAACTGCCCGCATAAACCCGGGACTCAACTGCTGTAGTGTAGATACTTGAACGCGGCACCCGCCTCAGATGTGCCGACATTGGATTCATTTCGACACGATAAAACGGTTGTATTCTCCAATTATGATATCGTTTTGTAATTATAGATTGGTCAAAAGAAAATTTGATTAATTGTACAAATTGTTATATTAATCATTTTTATCGCCTTGTTAATTGTGACATCTTACCGAGCGGGTAATTGTCCCCCCCCCCTGTGAAAGTTTGGGGGGGCGGTAAATTCGTGTGCATTTTTTTTTTTTGTATTTAGCCGACCAACTTGCGACAATTATAATTTATAATTGTATTAAATGTTTTTCTTCCATGTATTGTATTGTGGATATATCATTGGAATTTTAGCTGAAGTTTGTTATGGGATATTCTCTCAAATCTATTTTTATACGAACGCTGAACGATTCCTCGGTTTAATTGATAACGCCGATTCCGACAATACGATTTTACACACAATACGCAAAAGGCAGAGTGCCGGCCGCATTTTAGCGGTCGCTGTTAAACGCTTCTGTTCCATAAGGCCACACGGTAATATATTTATTTTAACTATTCTGTAGCTCTGTCGAATATCAACGTTAAAATATACTAGTCCGTCAGTTATAATTTATTTCTTTTCATAACAAAAATTCTGAAATAGGTAAGTGATTTTGAACTATATAGCTTAATGTTAAAAAGTTGCATGTTTAATACATTTGTTATTGATATTTTATATGGTAATTATATAATATTATAATTACCATATAATAATTCAATAATATTGGTAATATTAATATAAGCGTTGAGCGTTTCAATCCCTTATCTTGATTTTTAAAATTTGTCTTTTAACCGCGTTTAGTGTATTGTTAATTGTTGTACATACATAAGCTTCTTTTAGATTGAAATTATGGGTAGAAAGTTTAGCGATAGTGCGTATCGAAAATTGGAAAAACAAAAAAAAAGATACAATGAAAAACATTGTTAAGAATAATATTAAAATTGGTGCGTTCCTGCATACTTATACTTATCAAATATGTATTATTAGTAAGACACATAAATTAATATTAGGTACCCTGTTTTTAGTACAATCAGTGGGCACTGTTCATACTGTAGCCAGCGAAATATTAAGAATTAGGTAGATCCTATATTTTATAGTATAATCATGAACTCATCACATTTATTATTGTTCTTTAAATTAATTTTTTTTGAATTTAATAATGTAAACATTTTATAATGGTTATTAATTATTTTATTTGTTTTAGCAATGCAATTGTTGATTCAGTAAAAAATGTGAATGCAACACTTATCGACCAATCTTCAGTGAAATGTGCAACCATTCAAGAAGTACAAGATTTTAATGAAACTTTTTGATGAAACCAATTGATGGAGACGTACACATTTTACAACCACCCAGTTCTTCAGATAAGCCAGAGTAAGTAATTGAAAGAATAATTGTAATATACTTAAAATTAATAAGAAAATTAATATTTGCAGATTAACTGTTTTATTTTTAATTGTATAGTTGAAGTAAAATAATCATTTATCCAATATGTTTTTAGTGCTGATCCTGCTTTATGGATATTAAACGAGTTCACTCGAGATTTCATATGTAGAAATGTATTTCATCTTGAACTTGGATGGTAGTTTTTTTCATTCTAAAAGACAATACCAGTATATATGTCAAGGAACATTCAGACCTCACTATAGGTACTTAAGTAAAGATATGTCTAAAACCTCATTAATTATTGGTAAACCATATCAAAGAGACTATCTTTCTTATTCAGTTAGTACTGGTAAAATATATTGCATCTCATGTTATTTGTTTGAAAATACTTGCAATTTTTCACGTGAGGGATTTTCTGATTCAAAACGTCCTAATATAAAATTAATCAATACAAAAATTCAACAATGCATAAAACCTGTACATTTACAATGAAGCATCGTTCCTCTGATTTATAAAAAGTGTACTTTAAACTGAGACTGACTACTGGATAAATGTGCTTAATAGAGTTTGCTATGTTGTTAAATTATTAGTTAGTCGTGGATTATCATTTAAAGGCTGAAATTACTGTTTTGAATCTTCTGGCGAAAATAATGGCAATTTTATAATGGCTATGATTATGTCTGTGATATTATGGCTGTGATACTCATTGCTGAGTATGACCCATTTTTATCGAAATATATATTAAAATATAGGAATCCTAGTAAAGGTCATACTTCTTATATGTCATTTTTTACTTATGAAAAATGTACTCAAATTATGGTTTAAAAAGTTGTAAGTACTATAGTAGAAGAATTAAAATCTTCAGCGTATTATTATTCAATTAGCATTGATTCGACACCAGATGTATCAAATGTTGACTAGTTATCTTTTGTCATAGGATATGTTAATAGTATAAGAGAACCTGTTGAACGGTTTTTGGAGTTCATGGAAAATATTGGACACAAAGCTGAACCGTTGGTAGAAGCTATTTTATCTATATTGAACAAATATGATATTAATATTAAATTTCTTAGAGGTCAGTCATATGACAATGCTGTGAATATGTCTGGTGCTTATTCAGGTGTTCAAGCCAAAATTAAGTTAGTTGCACTACTTGCTGATTTTGTTCCATGTTCTGCTCACTCTTTGAACTTTATTGGATCATGTGCTGTCAGTTGTTGCAGTGTGGCAAATAATTATTTTTCATTTGTTTAAAATCTATATGTTTTTTTCTTATTGCCTACATACCACTGGATGAAAGTGAACCAACATGCTGAATTGAATCTAAAAGGACTTTTAGAAACTACATGGTCAGTAAACTATGTCAATAAACCTGACATAGTTTTATGGTATGGGTTTAATTCGGTTACCTAATGTTTCTTCAGTGTATTTTGTATACACAAAACATTTTGGTTTACAAAGGTTCCATCTAGGTATTAAGGGTTTGTCTATGAGTGATTTCGAAATTCCAACATCTACAACGGTCCATACTAAGAAACTATGTAAACTATAAATTATTCAACTATGTATCCATAATCACATGTACTCAATCATCACATACTAAATACATAAATATCATACTCAATAATAATCGGCACTGGAATTATGTAAACTTAATCAACAGTTATTGTAAGCAATTCTAAATTATAATTATGTAAGACATTTCTGTCTTAGAATCCATAAATCTCTTTTTAAGGAGGTGTGAACCCCAAACATTATTAATAATGTAATGGGCCAAAGAACCGATTCCGGTTCCGGAAATTAACTTAATTCGGAAGTCTAGTAGGAAACAACAGTTTCCGGAGGGAGACTAATGTCGCGTGTAAATGCATACCTATGGCACAGCTCGAGTTTTAAATAACACTTGATAAATTATTTGTATTATTTATATTTATAATTGTATTATCTATTCGACAATAACGTACGTCACAACACTCGCTCACGTCCAATACATCGGTAATTGTATGTCCGCCAGTTGGTGAGCAGTTTCTGTAATTCATTCCAGAAACGGCGGATACGTTAACGAAACGGCGAAGACAACAGATAGCAGCCAAGGTCGTCCATGACCCTATTTTCAGGGGGTGCGTTGCCTTTTATATGATTCGGTTTCTGAACTGAACGAGAAATGTATTGGTTTTACAGTGATGTTTATTTTGTTTTTTTTCTGCCGAATGTGACGGTGACAAACGAATTTTGGCTAATATTATAGTGTGGGAAGAATAGAATATAATATAATATGATTTTATTTTGTGTTCGATACATTCGTTTTGCTGATAGGTCGTACCTATCAATATTGCTATTGTCGTCCATATATATATTACACTACGTTAATGAGTGTAAACGAAAATTATAATATATGCAACGCTTAAATAATATTTTATGTGTAACATAATTTTTGTTGCGTAGACGTACCTATATCATGTTTTAACATTGTATTACTGGCGACTTCGACGGACGGTTAGAACAATATTGTATAATATAATATGGAAAGAATATAGGTAATATAATGTGATTTTAGGTTCGCGTGATATATTTTTGCTGATAGGGCTTACCTATCAATATTGTTATTATCGCCCGGATATACTACAGGGATTGTAAACTAAAGACCACTTGCCTATACAAGAGAATACCATGATTTTTCGTTAAACTGATTTACAAACGACTGGTTATTTCTAAAATGTTTTACGTCGTATAGTATTTGGGTACCACACGATCTTTTTACCACTTTATTAAAACTATGTACCCGCCTACAACATAATTACTAGGTATTTATATCTACCTAAATTAAATTTTCAATTACTCTTTTTGGATCAAATAATTTTTAAAAATGTTTATTTTGTATGAGTGTTTGAGTTTTTAATTTGATGGAGTGGAATATAATAGGTATAATAGGTAGGTGCGAGGTACCTCTATAGCCTATATTTACATCCTATTTGCACTTTTCAATTTCGTTCCGCTGTACCTGCATAATATATAATAATTTTAACATTTTATATTGTAAACGGTATTATTGATTTTCTCTAGACAAAAAACCAGTTATTGTATCGTGTTTACTGAGCGCATTTTTTTTAAATTTTTTTTTCTATTATCCAGTGATTTTCTCGAAAAATATTTTGGGAATTCAATTTCTGTTTTGTATAATTATTATGGAACCATTTAAGCTTATTTTTAAATATTTACCTATGTTCCTTATAAACCGAACACCTTAAATTTAAAATATTAGTCTCCACTTTTTAAACATCAGATTCAAATCGAGAATATTTGTCTAAACATTTTGATAGGTACCTATGCATAAAACCATTATTGTATTTATGAGTTATAATAGTTTGAAACTTGGAACCGTTATAGTAGGAAAGTGTATACAATAAATTGCATTTAAATTCAATAATATTAATCGCCTATCATATAATTAATAAATTTAAATATGTTTAACACATTTTTAATTATTTGTTATAATTTTTGGGTAGTAATGTGATCGTAATATTTGTATAGATTTTTTTTTTTTTTTTTTAAACAACGAAAGACATTGAAATAATTAGTGCATACTTGCAGGCATATAATCTGTGCAAGTAGGTATCTTATCTACCTTAAATATACAGATTTTAGATATTCTCTGGAATAATTTTAAAGTAAGATCATTTTTTGAAATTGTTTAGAAGTAGAATTGGTTGCGGTCGGTCATATTCTATCTATTAATAATATTAATAATAATATATGTTAATAATATGTTTTGCCCAACTACCTGGTTTGGATGCTTAAATCTTTTGTTAAACCGTTATTATATTCCGTATCCGAATGTTGATAGTTCAGATTTTTTTATTTCGGTTTGTATGCCAATTGTGTTCGTGTTGTGTATGTTTTCCGCTTCCGAAACATCGTACAATCTTATTTTTTTATCGTATGTTCATTCAGTGGAATTCAATTGTCGATACTCAATAGACAAGTAAAAGAGGTAGTAGGTGGGTACTTCTACATAGGTAGGTACCTACGTATTTTTTAAACCTAATCATATAACAGGAATTGCGAGACTTCTCCATATACCAATTATTATTTTAAAAGTATTACTTTTAAACTTAAAGTTTATAAAATATCTAAATATAATATTATATAGGTACATACGTATACTTGCATTAAAAAAGTATCGGAGATTTATATAGATATAAATAATTTATGGAAAATACTTCATATTATTTATTAGCTAATAAATAATTGAGCTAATATATTCCGAATAATTGGCTTATTATTAAATTTAAGTGTAAAAATCCTTATATACCTAGATGCGTTCTTAATTTGTCATTTTAAGTTCTCAATTATAAAATTGTTTAACTAAATATTTTTATTCAAAAAAAGGTGTCAAAGGATAATGGGGATGGATGCAGCCACTGTTATAGGTAATTTAAAGTATATCTGTAAGCAACGATAAACAATTGCTAACAAGAAAAGGATTCTGAGCGGAGTTCAGTTGATAGTGATACTTTGTCAACAAAATATACCTGTCTTATTATGGTAAATTAATAAGCTAATGAATAATAGGCATCATATATTTTCTTTAATATATTTATTTGATATTTTACCGATTTTCCGGTTTTCCCATGGTTTTTCCCCGTTTGATGAGAAAACTCCTGGGAAAATTAAAAAAATACCTTAAAATACCTTCTCAGTCAGATTTCCTTTCAGAAAAAGTGCTACCACTGTAAATCTGAGAAAAATTGCCAGTAGTACCTCCCTAGTGAAATATCCTTTTAGAAACATTGCTATTATTAAAAGTTTGAACAAAATTGCTGATAGAAAAGTTATTTACTGGAAAAAAGAAGGCCATAATATCTTCTTAACTATAATACCTTTAATTCGTACATATTCCCGTTTTTTTCGGTTTTTCATATTTGTTGAGAAAACTTCTGAGAGAATAAAAAAAATGACCTTAAAGTACCTTCTCAGTCAGATTTTTTTCAGAAATGGTGGTACATTTAAAAATCTGAGTAAGATTTCTGGTAGAAAAGTTGTCCACAGATTAAAAAAAATTAATAATAAATAAACATTTTTATAAAAAAATAAGCTTTTTCGCTCCACTTAGAATCTAATATCAATATGGTTTATTTTTGTGACAGTCTAAAAATAACAAAGCCCCGGAACGAAAATCCATTGTTTCACGTATCTATGGAACTTTGTTTCGTATGTATCTTTATACATCGTTGAGAAGTTATTCTAAAATTCCACGCGGAAGAAGTTACGAGTGATTTCGGCCTAGAAGACCATATCATCCAAAAAACATGGCTCCTTCTTTCTCTTTCTAGTGATATTTCCTTCCAATATTTGTCTAGTTTTATTTTTTCTACTTTTTATTTTATCCTGATTTTCCATTTTAATCATCCAGTGGTATTTATTCTTGATGGGCGTTATCCAGCACCATTCAGCAGTGAACTTTTTTTTATGCCATGCGTGTCCATGCCCAGATGAGTCGTATGTCTTCCACAATGCTCGAGCTTTGATACATCTTTATTTTTCCGGATTCTCCATCCTCCAGTATTTACATTATATACATTATATATATTTCTAAGTACTTTCCTTTTCGTTGCGTGTTATTTTGTCTCAATAAAGCGGTTGTTCCAAAAATTCAAAATAAAAAAAAGAATATATAAATTATAAGTTTAGCGAAGAATGTATTGGTTTTACAAAGATGTTTATTTTTTATATGTGAACACTTTTTACCAGAAAGCTTTCTCCAATTATCAAGTATAGCACTTTTTCTGAAAAAAAATATTCTCTGGGTGGTACTTAAAAGAAATTAATTTTTTTAAATTCTCATTAATATTCGAGATAATAAGGAAAACCTGGTTCTTTAGGTTAAAAAAATTGAAAAATCAAAAATAAGGTTGTCACTGGCAACAGTTTTTATTTATTTTTTTGTTATTAAGTTTTGTTATTTTAATTTTTTCTAAACAATCGTTGCAGTAATGGAAACGCACATTGTTGTAATCATTTTACCATAATATGACGTATAATTATATTATATATGGTTGACAAAACAACACTATCAACTGAACTTCGCTCAGAATCGGTTTTTCGTTAGCAATGGTTTATCGTTGCTTACAGATATACATTAAATTTCCATTTAAATCCTACCTTCCCAACTTCTCACAACAGTGGCTGCGCTCACGTGCGAAGTATAACCGTCTTTTTTTATATTTATATTATTACAAATAACATATTAATGT